CTGCTGCCTCCTCTCCCTTTTCCTGCTTTCTGTGGCAGAGAAGCAGAATAGGTAGGTCATAATATGCTACATGCTGTAGTGTAAGAAGATGTGGTCCATTCTCTTGGGTCTTGGAATATGCACAGGTTTTATTATATCTGATTTTTTTTCCATCTGGAATTGCCAGGTCTTTTTGATATGGGTAGATTCTGTCCATATCCCCACCCCCCGGCGTGTTTTTGTATTCCTAATKGCTGGTGAAGAACAATTTTAACCCAAAATGTTTAGAAACAGTGTCCTGCAAAACTAAATTGGTACTTACAAAAGAGAGAGAAGGGGAAGTGGAAAAGAATGTAAAAACATAAGGCTTGACTCCTTAGCTTGTGTCTCTGTTTTTGTATGTACAGCATGTGATGGTGTTGAATTTTCTTCTGACTGTAGCTGCTCTTTGAGCAATCAAGAAGAATGATGATTTTCTGTTTATRAATGAGTATTTCTCATATGTCTTTGTGTAATAGACATATGTCAGTTATTCATGTAAAAGTTGGGCAGTATCATCCTCCCTCTTCTTTTCTAGCATTTCCAGGAAATCAGATTGATTTGAGAGATGTGTTTTCACTCTGAATGAGTTTAGGATCAACACTGAGAAATGTAGAGCTGTCAGAATTTTATGGGTTAAATTAAAAAAATTGTTCAACCTTGCACTTCAGAAATATTGCAGGCTGTAATATTTCTAATGTTTGTGTTCTGTTTTTTAATCTTTCTTGTGTTTGTGTTCTGTTTTTGTTTTTTTTAAGCTCAAGTACTGAACTTTTAATTTTTGTTATCTGTAACTGAAGTGTTGCCAGTCTCCACAAAATATGCACTCCTGTTAAAAAATATGCACTTACATAAAAAATATGCACTTACATAAAACTGGAGAGATGCGGGTCTCGGTGCGTATGACAAGTATCCCTGACTGCCACAGGTCTTTGATGATATCAGCATTGTTAGAGCTGTGAAATTTGCTATTCCTTGAATATATTGGAGAAGGGTCTGGCAAARGGGGGAAGCACTTCTATTTACTTTGGCTAATCTGCTCTTCCTCAGGGTCGAGTCCTGGATCTGGAARGCAAAGTCCGCAGGGCTGCAGCAGAGAGGGGTGCTGTGGAACAAAAAAAGAATGAATTCCAAGGGGAGCTAGAGAAACAACGACAGCAGATCGACAAAATCCAGTCCTTGCACAGCTTTCAGATGGAAAATGCCAACAGAGTACATCAGGAAGAGAAGGTAGGGCTTTTTCTAGCYGAAGTTTTCTGTGAGATTGTAGTTTACCAAAACACACTCTGCAACTGAACATGTTGCTCACATATTCCAGCTAGTGGCCATACAGTCACTGTTGGTGTGGCAAAATGTTTTATGATTGTATATTGAGAAAATGGACATTATACGCATGTTTTAGCATTTGTTATACAACTTTGAAATACTAGAAACTGCAATTCAGCAGTTCTGAACAAAACACTTACCCCCTCTATAAATCATTGTTGCCATACTTGGATTGGCCCTGGCTTTCTTTCCTGTATACTAATGTTTTAAAACTTAAGAAAAAGAGGAAGATGTACCGAGACATATATTCCCAAATATATTTGTAAGCATAAAAGGTTGACGTTTATTTCTAAAAGCATTACAAATATTGTGCCAGATTGGCCTTCTATCTCCAAAACTCAATAATGTTGGGAAGACACAAGAAGGTTAGACTTTCATGGCAATGCTCCTGACAGTTCAGCTTCGCCAGGGGCATGGAATTCCTTTGTGAAGAATGTGAGCAAAGCTACTTAAATAGCAGTGTGYATGATTATTACTGTGTAATATCTTRCAAACTGTTTTGGTGTGTATTTTCCTTGTGTTGCTGATACTGCTTTGATTGCAGTTGTTAGTCAGTAGTATCACTTTCCTCCCTGTTAGCAGAAATATTTGGTTGAACATATTCAATTGCTTCACCTGTAGAGTCTCTTGCCTGAAGTTTATAGATCAACTTTTCAGGACTATTACATTCAGTAGGCTGAATARAAACATCTCATGATGGTAATACGCATTCTTCAGGTAGCAGGTTTATTGTGAGCTAATGGTTTGCTGCTCAAAATATTCTATCTGAGTGAAATGTCACCAGACTAATCTTTGAAGAACTTAGGGGAATACTAATTGAGTTAAAATGGAAGTCAGAATCAATGGTATATATYATTAATTTGTTTTGAAATTATCTTTACTACCAGTCATCAAGGAAATAGGAAACCAATTCTTCTTATCTCTTCTGAGACAAACATGTTTATTTGATAATTTCTCTCTTCTCTTTCCATGCAGTCTTTGCATATACTTAAAAAAAGAAAGATGAGATAAACTCTCTCTATTTATTTTTAATGTATTTTTTTTTTTAAATAAAGATGTCCCAGAACATTCAGACAGGACTCAAGTGGATAATCAATCTTGTAACTTCTGCCTCCTGGTTTTGGATATTGCTACTGAATGCTGTGGCATTTTCTTGCATTYTACTTCAGTCCTACAGGGAGTGAAAACACATGCATGAGTGGAAAAAAATAAAATTCAAAGGCAGGAAGAGGGCAAATGTAATGGAGTATTGTGTTTCCTTTCCATAAGTAGATATAGCCAGAGTTACTAAAAGGCACTGAAATGGTAAGGGTTGGCCACAGAATTTACAGCACAGGCTAGTAACATGAGCAGATGTTGAGAGATGGTGATAGGAGCTCATCCTGGAATTTCAAGGAAGTTTAGTGAGTGAAATGTTGCTTCTTTCAAGCATGGTGTGCGACCTTTTTGCTTCAACTTGTGGCATCAGACAAACAGCAGGTGGAACCATACAATCCACTTTTCTTGTGGTATTTTTGAGTCTAGAGGGCATATAGGAACTGTTCATTAAATCTGACCTCCATTCCAGGAGAAGTGATGAAAAGTACTTTACAGAACTAKAACTGCTCTTGGACATGGGGTAGAATGTCCAGGTGTCTAGGGAAGAGTCAAAGTGGCCTCTGGAAAAAAAAAAAAAATTATTCTGAAGTGTCTTGGAGTCTTCTTCTGAAAGAGTCAGTGATAAAGGTGAGGGAGACTGGAACACATTCACGCCTGGAATTGCAATTTTTCCTAGGGATATTATGTAGCCATGTGGTAAGATAGAGGTATCACAGGAATGAATGACAAGGCAAAAGTTACAAAGCGGCTTAGAAATACACTGGGTTRTTTGTTGCGCTGTGGGGAGGGCACCAGTGGAGTTCTGGAGTGCTTGGAAAGGCATGCAGAGGAGAACAAGATTAACCAAAGCTGTAGAGTAGTTTTTCTGTAGCAATCCTGAATGTGGTTATAGCTGGACAACAGTCAGCAGAGAGCAGCCATTAGAGTCATCTCCAGGATCCCAAACGGTACAGAAAATTTTTGTGGCTGGGAGAAACAAGGCAGGGTTTTTTTGCATCCACTGATGGGCTTCAAATGCCATCGAGTTGTAATTTAGACTGAGCAGAAAGTACTGCTCTTCGTGAAATAGGTGGTGAGGCTGCAATCCATAATGCCCAATTACAGTCGGTATGTGTTGGTTAAAAAGCATATGGGTGACCTTGGACAAGCACATGCCCCACCACCCAATACCAAGGTGTTTGTTGGTGTTTGTTCTGTCTCCAGGTGTCCTCAGACAAAAGTAGCTGTGCTTTGAAAATACGCTGTGCTTTGAAAATACTGTGCTTTATGGCTGCCTTGGAATTCATTTGGTATTCTCCTGTTAGAGGTGGGGTGTTGGAAAGATGGATTTTGGGGCCAATCTAGTAGCAATTCCTTCCTCTTAAGTGTTTTTTCCTCTCTCACCCTAAAATACAATTGTTCAGTAATGGAATAGTCTGTGAAGCTTGCTTTGAAACCCCAGGAGGTGACACCCTAGGCAAGTGGTGCATTGAACTAATTTTGTGTCTTCTGCATTTTGTGACTGGAGAAGACTGTGTTTCAGGAGCTTGAAGTGGTAGGGTGAGCATGTATGTGCCTGTGCACCATTTTGAGTCAAATTCAAAATCTGCTTTTCTTATGACACATGGACAAATATCCTTCACAGATGCTGTTTGTTTTCCAACTTTRATTTAAGAGTAGGGAGAGCTGTTTTACTGGAAAGCTGTGCATTTGTCAAAAGAGGTCATTAGCCAAGTTGGCATGGATTCATTCACTGTAATTCAGGAATGCCTTTGATACAGGGGCAGGGAAGAGAGAGAAAGCTTAATTTTCCTCACTACTGACCTTTATCTGAAGAAACTGTCTAGGACAAGAGGTTATTCTACAGTGGGATGTGGAATATGAGAAAAGACAGTTCCTGTGTGCTCTTTTGTTTATGTATATCTATATGCATGTGTAAGTGTGTGTTGTGTATTCATGCATGCATATCCTTATTWTTTTGGCTCCATGGATTCCAGTGGAATCTGGGATTCCTGTGAGGCAMGTAATGAATTCACTCTTTCTGGGATGCTTGCTCCTTGAACTGAACTTAATTTACTCTGTAAGGATTAGCATCAAATATTTACTAGTCAGGAATAATGAATGCAAATCCAAATCCTGAGACTCTCAACTAATTTTACAAGTAAGACAAACTAGAGATCTCTGAGTCATAAATGAGATTTTGTTTAGTCCTTGTTGCTGTTCTTAAAAAAGAATGAAAATGCTTTCAGCAGATGTATAGGAATGGTCCAATATCAAACCTCCCACATTTTCAGGARGAAATTATTGTTCTTCTGGCTATAGAAGAAACTTACATACGAGGCATACTTTCACAATCTGGACTTCTAACCAAAAGCAACTCTCAAGGAACATTTGAGACCCATCATAATTGTTCATCTCTGCTCACTGTGTCTTATTACTCTGCTGATAGAATACAGCATAATTATAGCACTGATTTACTTTCATACAAACGAAAGCACCAGTAAGGTATTTGACMAGTTAAAGTCTTTGTCAATTACAGTGGTAATCACTTTGAGTTAAATCTGCCTTCTTTTGTGTAGAACTGTCTCTCTGCTACTTGAAGGATGAGTGCATAGAAAGTARGTTGACCATGAGGACTCACCATTCACTGGGGCAATGTAATTCTGGAAAATTGCTGTTAGGTTTAAATATGTATAAAACACTACTCTCACTAGTTTGCTTTTTAAAAAYCTGCTTTAATTTTTAAGGCTTAGTGTAGATTTAGGAAGTGGCTTCTGGAAATCCATATAGAAATAGAATGAAGGGATCAAGTAATGTATAYGAACACTTGATAACAACAGATAGAGAAGCAAAAGGGCCATTTGTAATCTGTAAGCAATTTTCTCAAGAACAATGTTCTCTGTGGTTGTTATTCAGGACTCATAGCTTCTGGGATGTACAGAGCCACAGAAGTCTCTTTGAAGTACATAACAGGAAGACAGTATGTTTAATATATCTTAATTTCCAGAGCATGATTTTGCAGCTGGTAATTTTCTTTGGATTTACATAAATTTTTTCTAAYCTGAATCTAGTTTTACTGAGGAAAGTGCCAAGGTTTGTACATTCTRTGTGAAGTATGTCACTGTCCTGTTGCTCAGTATCTTTTAACACTGGCCACAGCTGTTCTCTGGTCCCCTCCCTCTGGGAAAATTTCAATTCCCAGCACAGTCTTCTGAGACAAAATACTTATTGGTATGCAGGGAGTCAACTCCACTCAGAAGGAATTACGGCAGTCTGCAGGGAGAGAGAAGAAAGGTGACTTTTCCTTTTCACAGAAGGCTATAAATATTTGGGGTTTCTTTTTCCAAACCAAACAATATTGCATCTTCTTGTTTTGGAAAAGTTTTAGGGTAAGGAAGCACTGCCTCATGTCTCATATTTGCCATAGCATGATAATACTAAATTAGTAAGAGAAATCAGTATGCTTACTCATAACTGGTACAGCAGAAGTCTAGAAGATTACTTCTGTTCAAAGTATATTTTCATGTGGTGGGAAGAAAAAAAAGGATGGTCTGACACTAGTGAACTAGAGCGAGAATTTACAGTATATGCAGTTTAAGAGTTAACTATTGGAATGTTTCTGCCCSTTTACTGCTAAATGGTTGGACAAAAAGTCAGAAGGTGCATTAGATATACCTGTARAATTTTTGTGTTAATATTCTCATATCATAGGATTTTGTTTTGCTTAAATTGCCCACTATTTGGGTTTTAGTTAAACACAACAGTACAATGGAAGTAGTAGTTGCACAGGGCTTGTTTTCTCCAATCTACTTACAGTTACCCTATACCTGTAATTTTGTATTTGTCAAATTCCACTCTCTTCTGCTGAGATTTTGAGAAACTAACTTTGCAATTTTGGGGGTTTCTGCAGTTTTGAAGGCTGAACTGCACCATGTCATGATGTGTATGTCCTTATGTTCTCCATGACCAAATAGAGCATCTAGATGGCTTTTAGCACAGGCYGTGAAACAAGGTTGAGTCTTTATCTTTTCCAGAATCACTCTTTAGAAATAGAGGTGTTTATTTTGGGTTTGGGTTTTGTTGAGTGGGTGGGTTCTTCATTTGTTTGTCTAGTTGTTTTTTTCTGGGATTCTTCTGTTGTTTTGGTGTAATTTTTTTATGTTTATTCAGGAAAAGTGCAATTTCTGAATGGAATTCAGTCTAGTGAGAAACAGATTTAAATGAGCAATGTCTTCTCCATTTTGAGCCTGAAATTTGTTGTAAGGTTTACTTCAACTGATGTGCCTCCACTGAAGTRTACAGGAGTATGCAGCACAATGATTACCTAAAAGAGAACTATTTCCTTAGGAATCATGTTTGTGAACTTTTCCCCCTCATATTACTATGTAGTTTAGCCATTAGTCTCTTGACTAGGAGTGAAAAAGCCTTTTTGTGTCTAGCTGTCACAAACCTGGCTGGCAACTAAATACCATGYAGCCACTTAATCACTCCCCACATCTCTCCCTAGATTTTTGAAGGTAAAAAACTCTGTAGGTTGAGATAACAGCAGTTTGATARCTCAGAGAGAGAGGAATAAAATCCAAGAGAAACAGGACATTCACAGTCCAGTTGATCGGCACCTGCTGAATGATTCCCAGCTTGTCTCCCAGCAGCAATCAGTGCTGCATAGTTGACTCTCCCAGGTTTATGTACAGATGTTCTATGGTTTGCAATATCCCTTTGGCCAGTCTGGGACACCTGGCTGAGCTTCCTCCTGGTTTCTTGTGCACCTGCTGGCTGGCAGAGCATGGGAAACAGGAAAGTCCTTGCCTTAGGGTAAACACTACTGAGCAGCAGCAAAAACATCASTGTGTTGCCAGTATTATTCTCATTATACGCTAATGCCAGCGTAGTGGTGGGGAGCCGTGGGAGTGTGCAAGACAGAAGCACTCTTTTTCTTTGCTGTGAGGACTTAAATCACTTTGAGATAATAATGAMATAAGTGCCCTGCTTTTCCCTGATTAATTATAAATGGCCGTTTCTGCACATAAAAATCTTAGCTTCCTATCTTGCTTATTTGCAGTTGGTTTTGCTCTTAGCAGCTGAGTTATTGATTCTGTGGCTCATCTTTGTCTCCTTTGTGCTGTATTTGTGAGCGCCAAGCCCCTTTTTTCTAAAGTTTTGGTTTTAAAATAAGTGTTTACGCTCATCAAATTCTTTGCTTTTTATTTTCTGATGCAGTATCTCATTATGCTTTTATATACACCATCTACAGTCAGTGTTAAAAAGCACGTATGTCAGTTCAGTGTGCTTGAGTTAGCTTGATTCTTGATTATAGGAAATGCTGGAGAAGTTACTGTAGTAATTCCTCCAAAGGAATATATATATGGAAAATACTGCTAGGCATTATTTGTAGCAAATACATTTACATAGTTCAAAGTAGGTGCTCAGAACTAACACTTTAAATAACTTATCTCAAAGCTTCCTCATGCGTATTTCTGCATTATGTTTTATTATTTTTAAGCAGTAACTTTAGCTTGTGTTTCTTGTTCTTTTTCCTCTTTGATAGTCATTATGACTTCTGTGTAAACATGTCTACAAATATGACAAGCTGGTTCTATGTTACAGAGTTACTCTGTCACAGAACATCAGATTCTGATTTGATGATAGAGTGATTTGCCTAAAGCTGTAYTTTTCATTCCTGGGGATCATAGCTATTGTTTTGTGGGCTGAATGAAGTTTAAAATGTGAGTCTCTTTCTAGAACTGAGTATTGGCCTGTGTTTGCTAAGTGTTTCCCAGCAGTTTTCATTCCTGACCTGCATAAAACCCCAGAAGTAAATAATGTTTGTTTAATTTACAGCCACAAGGTGAAAATTAGTTAAAAGTTGAATGACAAGGCAAMGAATGGAAGGCCTGATGTTATTGACACAGATTGGAAGCTGGCAGTTTGCAGTATTGTCCCGTAAATTATTAAACAGTATATCCTGCTGAAGTTAAACAGCTAACTGGATTTTAACAGATTTATTTCCTGGATTCTTGCCCACACATTCAAGGAGGCAGGTGTGGCATTGCCAAAAGAAAGTTTTATATGCAATTCAGAAAGACCAAGGCACACTTCTTTTTTTTCCTGTTTTGATTCAAAGAGTCTTTTTTTAACATGGGAAATATTTTTTTTTCACTTCAGCTAATCACAATTATTATAGTCTTAATGTACAAAACATSTAACACTTGTCTGTTTTATTGTCACATAAGTCATCCTGGCGTTTAGTAGTTCTCTTTTAAGGAAAAAAAAAACCCACAGCCAACCCCCATCCTGCCCCTCCCCCCCCCAAAAGAAGAAAACAGAACAAAAACAAAGCCCCACAAAAAACTGTAAGAACATAAAATTGGTCTATCATACTGATTTTTTCTAGTCCATTGACAATTTCTGATAATGACCAATGCGGTGTTACCCTGCAGGTGATAATTCTGGAACAACCTGGCTACACTGTTCACACATTAGCAAAACTTGAAATTKCCATTGAAACATTAACTTCCTTTCCTCAATAAACCAGTGAAAATAAATTCAWTTTTTATTTACTTGTGCTGTGAGAAAGGAGAGGTATATTAAATAAACCTACATATATAGTGTTATTATTGTTTTTTTGCTTTTTAACAAGGAGCAGATTTTTTTCTGGAGGTTTTGTGGTTGTGTTCCAGAACAGTTGTACATACAGAATGGTGTAGGAATACCTAGCAATAGCTGAATTACCACCTCTGTGAAGTGGGCCTCTTCAAAGGGTCAACCAAAGACAAATCTACTATTCTGCTGCGTGCTAACCCACTCAGATTTATTGAACACTGCATTTCACTTAATCAACTGGCCTTTACTRCTGTGGCCTTTATGAAAAAAGGCACTGACAATGTTTTCAGTCTTTAAGGGTGATTTGGGCAGAGAGAACAGATGCTGTTGTTTCTTCTCAGTTATGGGTATACGTACATATCAGTACTAGAGAATGAACTTTGGGAAACAGGGGTCTTGACATATCCCTATCTGGGGCCCTTGAAGAGCCCTGAGGTTTCCCATGACAAGGATAAATAGGGGAGCTGCCAATTAAGCTTAAGAAATASCTTCGTAAGAGAGTTGGTGGGTCTCTTTTTCTGTATTCTTAAGACTTCTTGTGCATCACACTTGCTGAATGTTGAATATGAATCTGACTCATTTGGATATCTGGCTCACAGGAATAATTTCACTTAGCCTTGACTTGATTCAGTTTTTAGGTGTTTTGGGTCTTGCGTGTATGTGAAATGGTAGACAGAAATTGATGAAAGAATACACAAAACATGTTCTTATGTTGACAACCTCTTCAGAATGTGAGGGAGAATGAAGTGAACGAGTGGAAGAAGGCTGCTCCAGCATGAAAACAATGGACATGATCAGTAGAAAAGGGATACAGTTCAAGGGCTTCACAGTGTTTTCATGGAGTTGTTTTGTGCCCAATGATTAATGTTTTCATAGCTCATCTTTTCATGCCTGGATGCAGGTGTATTGATTCTCAAGTGAGAGGGTAGTTGACAGTGAGCTGTGCTGTATTCTTCCTTCAGCAGATAAAACAGAAATATGTGACTCCAGTTGTGAGATTAAACTAGAATACAGTGACAAGCAATTTTTTTATCTTCAGATTCCTTTAAATTCTTCCTCTTTTCATTTGTGTAGYGATATCTTCCCCTGCCTCCACTCCCTTTTACTGGAAAATCTGTGTGAAAATGAATGTTTGTTGTTTACAATAGTAGATCTCTAAGGTAGCTAAAAGCTTTTGTTCAACTGTGACACTGTCACAACTGCGGCATACAAAAAAATAGMTCTTGTTACAAGTGGTTTCCATAGGTGTTGTTTATAATGGTAATACAGGTCCTTTGCAATTAAAACCCTGCCTTTTGTTCTGCTTCTTTCAGGCAATGCTGATGAGTAACATTACAGTAAATGATCGATTGATTCAAAGTCTACGAGGTATGTCATAATATCCCTGTGAATCTCTCTTGTTTTTTAGGCCCCCTATTTTTGTGTGGTCGTTTGACAGTGCTGCCTTTCTTCAAGTCATGGAGGTGATGCAGGGGTGACACAACTTAGATCCTTCATCTGTGTAGCTCCAGTTAAACGTCAGACAAATCTGCCTCAACAGTAGAAGGATTTGTCCRTGTGGTGCTTGATGTAGTATTCCTGACTCTTATGACATAAAATGGAATAGAACTAAGTTAGTGTATTTATTTTTCATTTCACCTTTGGCAATGTATTCTTGCATTCTTCCCTGAGGTGTGGGGTCCTGGATTGTAGCACCAGAGGAATTCACAAATCCTGTATTAATTAATTTGGTGTAAATAAATTACTTGGTGTAATTAATTTCTATTCATGGTGGTGCTTCAAAATTGTTTTAGCAATGTATTTCTCAGGAGGCTCTTGGGAATGAATCATATAAACAAATAAGTATGTTGTGGTGTCATCTTCTGGTTCTCTCTCACAAAACTTTCTATCATGAAGACAACTCTAAATCATAGATGCCTCTGTTGCTGAGGAACCTGGCTATAAATTGCATACTATTCAGGGAAGCATTGCAGGCTTGTCTTTAGATGGCTGACAAACATGAATGCTGTTTCATACTGTGTTCTGATTATGATTTCTTAGACCTAAAGATTTTCTGGACTGCAACCCAGCAGGGTTTGCAAAACAATTTCTGAGTATTCCTTATGAGGAGAAGTAGGTAAAAATATGCATTATACTGTTTTTGCTAATACATTATGCTGAAAGGTTSTTCTTACCAAATCCTGTGCATCCATGTTGAATAAATTCAATAATTATCTGTGCATTTGTGTATGGAATGTGCTTTGCATGACAGATGGAATAATTTAGCATACTTACTATATTTGTYGCTTGATGTTTCTGTTGTAGGATATGTAGATATATGTGAGTTTTAATATGTATTCAATTCTGTTTTGATCAGAACACTTGAAAGAGTTRCAGACAGAATATGGAAAGCTACAGTTGGATGTTTACTGGTTTCAGAAGAACCAGACTAACCTTCAGAAGAAGTTCTCATATGACCTGTAAGTATTGCTMTTTAGGAAAGAAAACTTACCAAAATTTAGGTGACTTGGTTGTAATCCAGAGTAGTCTTGTGTTAGCTGTAACACTGTTAGTAAATATACATTTTTAAGGAGAAAGTAACATATGACACATCATCTAAAATGGCTCACAGTTGATCTTGGAGAAGAACATAAGTTTTGTAGTGTTTTGCATGTTTGTGTCTACAGAYTTCTCCCACACTTCTTGATCCTTCTATTGCAGGAGGATAAAGGTAACAATAATATCATTTAAGAATTGTGGGGAAAAATTCAATCATGAAGATGCCAAACTGTGTAGAAGTTTGAATTAAGAGAGGGGAATRTCTGCTGAGAAGCTGTGAGAAGCTGTAGCTTATTGAGCTGCAGGAGGTCTTGGGAATTTCTGGCAACATCCGACTCATGTTCTGCTTTACAGTCCATGTCTAGTCATGATTTTTTCTTGAGATTTCTCAGTGACTTGTAAAGCATGGATAACTGAGCAAAAGTACTTATCAGTACTCTAAATACACATTTCTGATATTTCTAGGAATTTCTCCTCAGTTCTTTCTRCTTGGTAATATTCTTTTTTCGTCAACCTGCCTTCACATCCAATAGTATCATCCCTCTTGTGCATAGATATAAAAAAGCAACATAAATTTGCTGTTTGCATGTTGGTGTATGAGTGTAATTGTTATAGTGATAGGTATTTTTCAGCAGCCATTGTTAAACCAGGTTTTGTAGGAATTAGGTCTAAAAGCAGAACGTGGCACACAAAGAATATGAATTCTGCAGGCTGGAGTTGAAGTATTTTCTTATTTTTCTTTTTTTTCTTCTCCTTAGAATTAAGGCTCCAAGGTCTGGGCTGGCTCAAAATGAAGAGCTAAGCATGATACAGTGATAAAGATGGGCTTGCTTTTATCAGGGTTAAGTGTAGAGAGAGGCATGATTAATGAGATGTGTGGTACCTGACCAGGGACTCAGCTAGCTGATCTGCCTTCTGGTCCTGAGGCAGGTACACCGTTTCCTGCAGAGCCTCCATGGGAGTCCATAAAGCCACTTATCTCAGCCAAGGATCTTTGCTGTCTTCACTAGCTTTGTTGCATAGTACTTACATGTTCATTTTCTATTTCTAGACCTTTTTGTAAGAGTGCAAGTGAGGAAAACAAATTTTTGCATTCAAATTTTTGTGTAATAATTTAGAGCTTGGGTATTGTGAAGCTTTCACACAGTTCTAGCAGGAACATATATAGCTTGTTGTGTACCTTTAGGGAGGATGTTGGAATGACAATATTTCTCTGTTACTGTAAGTTACACAACTAACTTTACATCCTGTTCTGGTAATTGCAGAAATGGGTATTTAATGGTACTTGGCTATATATGTTCCTCTTTGTTGTATGCTCACTTAATACTGTCACTTTAAATGCTTACAAACAACCTTTTCCCAATGTGATTGTGGGCATAGAAAAAATAGAATTACTAGAAGGACTCCAAATATTATTTTTAATCTGTCTTCCTTCCTGCCCTCCACATTAGGAATAAACCACTGTGTTGCCTCTCTGTTCGTTTGCCTTGCCAGGAAGGGACAATTAGACATGATTATGTCTTCTTCCTTGTACTTGGATTTGCATGCATGAAGGTTTTGCACCTTATTTATCAAGTACACTATGCCCAGTGCAAAAATGGAGAGACATTATTATTTGTATAATTGAAAATGTTGAAAAAGGAGACCAAATTAAAATGTCTTTTTTTTTTAATGGCATGTGTTTACACAACAGATGAGTGAACAGATTCACTCCTTTTAAACATTCAGTTACTACTCTGTGGAAGAGAGTGTTAAAAGCAGCTGTGCATATGGAATGCATAAGWACAAAATCTTTGAACTTAGAATGAAAAAAAAATCATTCTTTCTTCTTGTACCCAAGTCTTGAGGTTTCATCTTGGCATTTTTTGAGTAAGGTTAATGTTTTCTGTGCTGAAGTCAGCAGGAGCTATCTGACCTTACTGGTGCTGTGTGCAAAAGGAGGGTTCATTCCTCAGCAGTCGACTTCACAACATACCCCTGGTGCACACWGTGCCTGGGGCTGTCTGGGCATGGTTAGAGCTTCTTTAGCAAAGGCTTGCTGGCACACTGTCYCTTCCCTCCTACAGCAGCCAAAGGGAAACAGAAGCCTCTGGACTGATATTTTGAAATTATGATTGAATATATTCCAGCATTCAAATGTATTTTTATTCCCAAGAGTTTTGTTTGTAATATAATCACTTCTTTAGAAAYCTTGTTATGTGCAAAAAGTCTGACAATTAGTTTGATATTTGCAGACCTGACATGTCTGTCAGTGTATGAGTAATATATTCTGGTAGGGATGAAAGGAGATGATGATAGATAATCCTGGAGAACAAAGATACTCAGTTTTTCATGCTGGCAATTGGCAGATCCATAAGCCTAGGAAGATAGAGGCTGCTCATCTATTCCTGKGCATGCAGACCACATCTGCACGTGGCCAGGTATGCAGGTTAACACAGAACACATGCAGCAGGAGCACAGACAGCTGGTAGCCYCATCCCTCTCCTACTGAGAGTGAGTGTCTGCTAGTGCAAAATGTGCTGTGGAGGTGGTCTGGAGGGGCTGTTCTTCCTCCTGAGTTTGTAGTTTGAACTCCTCACYGCCTCTGTGCTCCTTTAGGTGCATGGAGGTGATCCTGCATGGGAAGGGCTGATGGCTCTTTTGATGGGCCTGGGAGCAGCTGGGAAAGTATTATTTGGGCTCCTTTGTGTGTATGCAGGTGAGCTTTTTATCACAAAATTAACTTTGTAATGAGGGAGAAAACATGCTACAGAGACTGAATTTAAGGGTATTGTTTTTGCACGTTTGAAATGTCATGGTGATGGGATGAGGTGGAGAAGCTAGTCCTGTACTTCTGTACTCCAGAAGTTGTATGTAACAGTAAAACATTCAAATCACCTTTAAAAGAAGGGAATTCTGTTACAGATAAAAAATTTTAAAAGGTAAGGATTTGTCACAGATGTTAAATGAACTTTATTTTCACATGTAGTATGGGATAAAAGTACAACCTTTCACAAATGCTCTATCTCCAATTTCAGGTTGTCTGTATACTGCATCTTTCTCAAGCTTGCAAACTGAGGTGCAGATGATTCATATGTCCTTTTTATTTCCTAGAAAATAGTGAATGTGTGCATAACTCAGACCTAAGGTGTTTTACTGTCTCTGAAGTTCACCAGTTTAAAGCACTGCTTATTTTGGTGGCTCTTCCATGTGTTAGAATTATCAAAATCAGACTTTAGAATAATGTCTAGTTAACAAGAAATCTTTACAAAGGTAATTAATTTGTCAGTTCATAGTGTATCTGTCTGCTACTGTTCTTCCTTTCTGAGTGTGAAATACACAGGGGAGTTTTTGCTTTTGAAAAGTAGGGGTGGAGAAGGATGAAAGTGCAATAAAAATGAGTACTTGCTGTGCTAGGGTATGCATAACCTGAGAGTTTCTTTGGATTACATAGCAGTTTATTTGCAGCTTGAGCAACTGGAATATGCCTGTTTGAACCAGCTGCTGTTGCACCCAGGGTATTGATACTCTGGTCAAAGCCAGAATCAGGGGAAATTCACCCCCTTCTTACTCTTAGTGAGGGGGAGGAGAAACTTGCCTTATGTTGACCATGCTGTTGTACAAAAGCTGATTTTGAATGCAGAAAGATGCATTTGTAGCTGATTGTATATGTCAATCTTGAAGCTACCTTTGTGTGGAAAAAACAAAGGAGAAAGAAGAAAAGGTTTAAAAAACCCACCTGATCCCATCACCATGGCATTTCAAACATGAAAAACTATTACCCTTAAATTCAGTTTCTATGGCATGTTTTCTGCCTCACTACACAGTTAATTTTGTGATAAAGAGCTCACCTGCATACRCACAAAGGAGCCCAAAKAATACCTTCCCAGYTGCTCCCAGGCCCACCAAAGGAGCCACCAGCCCATCCAAGGATCACCTCTATGAGCCTACAGAAGCACAGAGGTGGTGAAGAGGCCAAACTACAAACTCAGGAGGAGGAACAGCCCCTCCATGCCACCGCCACAGCACATTTTGCACTAGCAGACACTCATTCTCAAACTTCTTTGCTGCCAGACCTGCAGGGAAAAGAAAATGTGGTCCCCAGCCAAGAACCTGCTCTTTCTTGGGCAGACTTTCCAGGGCAGTGGGTACTGACAGTGATGGTGATTTTTCTCCATATTTTTCCTTAGTGTGATGCATTTCCCTCTGGGATCTACTCAAACAAACTACTGTCCCATTCATGGCTGGGATCAGAGCRTACTTGGGGTTACATGATGACTAGTTTCTAAGCCTGTTACATGTGTATTATGGGGTAATGCTTATCTTGCTTTGCTATTTACTAGGTTTTTTTCTTCCTCTGATATAAACTGAAAGCTATAAAACAAGTTATGAAGAGAGTGGRAGAGAAAGGGTGATCTTGCCCTGACTGCAGCCACTTGTGCTGAGAAACTGAAACTGACAACACTCCTGGGCTTTGCGCAGGATCCCCAGCAGAGCCACTGAAGGGGAAAACACTGCCTGGCAGCTTTAGGAAAAACACTGCTGCAACAGCAGGCCTTACCTAGGAGTTAGGGAGCTGTGAGGGAAAGGCAGTCTGCAGAGATGCAGAGAGAAGGCCCCTGCTGCCACAAAGGTTAGGATGCTAATGGTGCTGTGTAACTATTAAAAGTATGTAAAGGGYACACAGTGCTTGCATCTTCGGGATATATTCCTTCTGTAACTTATAGTAGCTACTAATGAACTACATATGTTTGTTATATCTTGCAGCAATGCACTTTTATGAAATATTGRAAAAAAGAGTTCAGTTTGCTAACAGTAGATCACGCCTGTTTTCTATTTCAACTGGTACTTTCCTGTTTCCTCTTTCTGGCTAAAATCAGAATATAAATTTCTGTTATCATACCAGAAATGCTTCAAGGACAAAATTTATTTCAACTTAACTGGATTTGCGTGGTTAGCAAAGACAAAAAATCATGTAGCTTGTTGAGCTGGTCAAACAAAAGTTGGTCAAACAAAATTAATTCCTTCCARTAGAACTTGTCTGCACTATGAATTTGTCCTTAGGACTTAAGTTAATGCCCCATTTTYCCCTAGTGACTTCTCAAATGTAAGCCCAGGTGGTAGAATTAAGGAAATAATAAAATGTAAACAAAACCCCCCCCAACATATAAAAACCCAATTAGATAATYCTACAAAAGTACATTTTAGAAGAGCGTGGTTGAGAGTTCATGGTCTTGTTCATATTTTCTTTAGGTCCCAGTGCATCAACCAGATGAAAGAAATAAAAGAACAATGTGAAGAAAGGATRGATGAGCTTACAAAAAGGAGTACTGGTGTACCACAAATTAAAGAAAACAAAGACCTCATAGAAGAATCAGAAAAATACAACCAGGTATGGTTTGAATAATTTCTTGAAAATACTGTTCTTTGTAATTTTTAGGTGTTTCTTCACCTTTCTTCTACCAGCATTTGCCCATCAAATTTTGTACCACTTCAGCATTTGTTGAATTTTTCTGATCTATGGGAAACAGGGTAATTTCAAGGACTGAACAAGGAGAGGTCCCTAATGAGACTACACTCACTGTGTCTCAGAGATAGACAGAATTTGAGAGGTGGTGCTGGGAGTGGTGTGRAGTCCATTAAGGAATATTTACACTACAGAATTTTGGTTAACAGCACCTTTTGACTTTGTTAAAATACTTTGCTTTGTGTGTTGAAAATGTGTTAAAGATGAGGACATATTGTCTGTCCCTCAGAGATGCAGCAAATCCTGAATATTGCAGTTGAAGGTTTATTAGCTATGAATTTTCACAGAAATCCTTTATGTCAGCATTTTACGGTAGGAATGAAGGGATAATCAAATGTCGTAGCTGTTCGCTATTGGATATTCTGAGCCAAAGAACAACAAATTCATTGCAGCATCTATTGAAACCTCACTAGGCTAGGGCAGATGGGATGAATAGGGTGGCTGTGTCAGCAGGCTCTTTCTTCTGGGGTGCAGAGGGTGGGAGAAAATTCTGAGAAAAGGAAATTTCAATTCATCCTGTTGTCTTGGCATGTGATTTATTGATGATTGGTTTAGCTTGACATGGATGGCCCTGGAAAGAGGCAATCAAGCTCTTTGGATGAGAAGGCACCTAATTTATTTCTGTACCAAAACAGCCTTTTCTTCAGGTTTACTGAAGAAACAGAGGTTTTAGAAGTTACACTTTTTACATGAGATTGCAGTGGGGYTTTGGTGGAATGTACCCTTTTCTCTTTGGCTAGGAAAAGGCTAAATTTGGTGACTTTAGAAGTGGAAAGGGTAAAGCAATGAGGAATGCTGGCTTTACAAATAGCTGAAAAAGGGTGTGAGAAAATGGCCAAAATATCTGCCTAGAGATTCCCATAGGTAATTGTTCCAGCTGTGTCCAGTCCTTTATGTAATATGGGGRGAGACAGAATTGCTAAGTGTGTGACCTTTTATTCTGGGAACCCGCATTCTGTGAAGCAGAATGAAACATTAGAAATGAAGCATTAGAAACAGGAATTGCTATCTAGTTATGCCTTAGAAGTTACTCCTGTTGTGGCTAGTTTTTATTAACAATGTCAAGTAAGTAGATAAAAAGTAACAATAATAAATAGATCATTGTAAGTAACTAATCACTTGGAAATGATGCATTAGTTTATCAAATACATCTTGTTTAAGAAAGTTGATCTAGGGAAGATGCTAGTAGAAGAGGTGGTCGACTTTGTTTTTGGTGTGACTTTGCAGCAGATTTCAATTACAATTACTTTTACTAGATTCCTGTTTGTTTGTATGTGTTTGTTTGTTGCATTTTTGGTTTTTTTTTAGCACTTCTAATTTGGAAGATAAGTCATCTTAGGATGAACYTGAAGAGTCTGACTGAAGCCCCTCTGCAGGACAATTTCAGTCTCCTGTATAGGTGCATGCTGGAGGCAGTTTTTACCCAAAGCCCATTATCTGTAAGGCAGGGCAGGTTAACTCTTTTGCTTTTCATATGTAGATGGGATGGGCTCAAATGGGCTAACCAATAATATAGCTACTGCCTAAATAATTTCTGTCTGCCTGTGTTCCCTGGTATTTCTGGCAGTGTTTCTTTGGCCAAGCTGTAACTTACTCAACATTGCCCATGAATTGCAGCTTTTAGTTTTAAAAAAAGCATACTTAGTTGTAGTTAGTGCAAGACAACCCTGCCAAAATCTATGAATGTTTTTATCCAGTGTTTTAAGCTGGAATAAGTCCTGTTTGTAAGATGTATGTGCCTATGTAACAGAAAAGTCGAACTTAAAACAGAAAAAAATGGGGTGTTGCTTGATTAATAACAGCTTTACTTAGAACTCTGTAATTTGAGGAATGATGTATACTTCTTGGCTGAGGAAAATACAACATGTTCAATTACTATCTTTTTATCCAACTACTTCAACTTTTAAAAAAAGTGATCATATACCTTTGAATCTATTTGATCTTAAAAATTACTGAGCTAGGAATTTAAGAGAAGTAAAGGGATTTTGCATGTGTAATTAAAAGGTAATTTCTTGCTATTAAGTCCTGGGTCAGTATTTTTACAGAAGAATACATGCCCGATATAAAGTGAAAAATGGTMATTGGGACAATTTCTTGTTGTCCTGTCTCTTGTTACCTGGGAGAAAAAGCTGACCCCTACCTCAATGCAACTACCTCCTTTGGGGTAGCTGCAGAGAGCAGTGATGGTAATGCGCTTATGATGACTGGGAGAGCACTCCAGTTTCCAATGACCATGAAGTAAGYAGATATTTGTTTGGAGCCATTAATTGTAGTTTCCCTGTCCCACTGAAGTCACTGATGCAGGGCTGCCAGGCAGGTAATCCCAAGAAGGCCTCATTATACCTGAGCTTAACCTCTTATTTGCTTTTTCCTTYGTTTTCCTCTAAACACTTTCTCTTTGATCATTCTCGTAAATTCCTCCATGAAAAAAMCAGCTCTGCTCTTTCTCACTGGCCCTGGATTTGCACCCTCACTTAGTGTCTCTGAAATGACACTGGGGAAAGAATAACCCCATGTATTAGGTTCCTGACTGCTTGAGCAATGACCATGAAGAGATGAGCCTGGGTGCTGCAAAGGGGTGTCATATGAGCCATGGAGCTGTGTTAGGGGAATTGTGGCTGCCTCCATCTTTTCAAACCCCTTCTGCCTCCACTCAGCCCCAGGAATGTGTTGTAGCTGGAGAACCACCATTATCTACAGGCAGCTCCAGATTCCCCTCCKAGAGGATGGATGTTCCTGATGTCACCTGTGTGAAAGCCCCTGGGTGCATCCCTCAGTTCACTAACAGTCTTTCATTTTCACTTGGAACTAACGGTGAATCATAAGTTGAGTCCTGTGTCTCTCAAAAGGTCGAACACAAACCTACACCCCCAAATACTTAATTGAGGTAGTCTGGGAATCACTTGTGGAGAGAGGTGGTGACATGGCATCCCTGAGTTCCCTGTTCCCCACGCTATAGATAAGGGGGTCCACTGATGAAGACAGCCCAAGCACAGGACTGCCAACCAGAGATGGGGAGGAGGTRGAGGGCCTCAGGAAGGCAAACATGCCAGCACTGATATACAGGGAGACAGACCATGGCCACATACGGGAGCCAATGCTAATGTAAGGAAAAGTCATACATAGAATTTAAATTGCCAAATTGGATGATCTGCAAGACAGTGTACATCTTAGGCTTAATATCTAAGTGGGTCAGATGCTTGCAGCAGAATTTAATACATTCTTATGCAAGCTCCACCATGTTAAATAGGTATTATTGATTAGTTGGTTAATTTCTGTTGKTTTTTTTTTTTCTTAATCCTGGATTTAACATAGTTACTGACCAGTTCCATACATAGTTGCAGTCTTATGATGACCAAACTCAGTTTTCCTGACCTGTAGACTACTAATAGTTAATGGCATCTCTTTGTTTGCTCTGCTGACTTTGACACAGTGGCWGAGCAAAAGTGGATAAATGCGTGGTGTTACTGTTCTGTGACACTTGGAGAGATACGAAGAACAGTAACCTCATCATTAGCTTCAGTTAAATAAGGTATGTTAAAATTCTCCTGATGCGCCATGCTGTTAGAAACATAGGCAGAAAACTGCCTATTTAGGATTGTACGGTACATCCATGACCAATAAAAATTTAAATCCAAGTGTGTTATGATTTKTCCTGTGCTGAAGTCTTATCTAAATTCTACTTCCCTTTCCAAATCCAGGAACAGTTATATAGGCCAATACTTCTGTGTTTACATTGATTTTATAGGTTGACACTCAACTGCCAGCCTTGAAGCAAACTGACTTGGAACAGCAGAAAACCAGTGAAGATGTACCTAAAGCAGTACCTACAGTGATAAAGACAGACGTGACGCAGGCTAAAGGTGAGATGGAAATCCCTCTCACTAACAAATGGTTAAGAATGGTTGTAATTTAATTGAACACTTAAAAATATTTTTGTGCGCAAGAATAAGATGAAAAAGTTGCACCATCCGTCTGAGCRTCAATCAGCTGAAGTATTTTTCTTGCTGGGATTTCTGTTGGTTCAGTTTTGTTGTAATTGGCACGTTGAACAAAAAGGAAAATAGAAATCTTTACAGTTCTGGAGCCACACTCCTCATTTAGTATGGAGAAAATACCCAACTTTTGGAAGGAATAATTTTCAAGCACAGTCTAAGTTTGCTTTCTTAATAAGTTTGATATATTCAGCCTAGTGCCTCTCCCTGTGGCATAGCTGAAAGTTAGGCTTACAACAAACATATCCACCCTTCGCATGTGTTGTCACTGAGCAGAATGCACGTTCAGGAAATGATACACATGGGATTAGGTTAGATAACCTAATGGTTCCTTTTGGCACTAAACTTCAGAAACTATTAATGTGAATGGATGTATCCTTCTGTGCTCATCTTGCATAGTAGTGTGTGTGTGTGATAAAAATACTATTCTTATTTAATTATTCTTATATGTTATCTTAAATTACAATCTTGTGAGCATGCAACTCTTATTTTAGAGAGCTAGCAATTGAAGGCAATGTCTACATATAGTTTATTAGGGAAAATTTGGGGGTTTTTAGTCAAAAATGCAGATATGTGGGAAAAGTGATATGTTAATGTCTACTAAAAATTATAGCACTCCTGAATGTCCTTCTTCATGTTTAAAAATAAGAACAGACTTGATTTACTGGCAAATCTGCCTATGTGATGCTTTGTCCTGAGCCACTTTTTAGCACCAAATCAATTTTATTGTTGGTAACAAGGTGTAACACAGAAACCTGATGCTTATATAAGTAGGAGGACATTGCAATTTCAATTTAAATTGCTTTGTTTCRCTTGCCCAATTTATTAACCACATGTACCAAAACTTGAAGGATGTAGAAGCATAAATGTGTTTACAGTAAATAAAGTTCCCCTCTTTAGCTGTTCCCAGTATGAAAAACGTGAGTTGTCTTCCTCTTATCTCTGGAACTGATGGGATTGGAAGATACCCTTTCACAGGAAAACTAAGAATTTAATGCGAAATATAAAGCATTATTTATTAAAAATTTGTAATAAATAATGCCATTGTGCCACCACTGAAGGATATTATTTTTTTTCACTCAGAATAATTTTTGCTGTTTTCAGAAAGAACAGACAGCCTAACTGACATCAGAAAACAGGAGCCTGAGGCAGAAGAGGAGCAGCTTTCTAGTCAGTTGATAAAACCACAAGAATCACTCAAGACTGCTGGAGGTCAGAAGGAGATGCTGCTAGAGTCAGAGAAGGAGCCAAATCCACTTAAGGATGCGAAAGATGTAGCTGGGCAAGCTACAGTACAGCTGACAGCAGAGCAGGCTGCCAGTGACGAAGTTGAGAGGGAACAGCTCCTAAATTACGATGCTAAGCAGGATGACTTGCTGCCTGGTAAGGCTGGTTTGTAGCATGTCATGTAYTGTTAAAAAAATAACAAAATGAAAAGTAAAGAAATGAAAGTGTGGAATAGGGCAGGATTTCTACAACAGTGGTGGAAGCTGGCCAGTTATAAGTTTTATAATCTAATATAAGTTTTCATAAAATATGATGTGGAAGGTGTCAATCCATAGAATCATCCGCAGGCAGTGAGTAAACAGGGAGGCTTCTGATTGTGCAACATGAAGCTGCCAGGCCAAGTTCCTCTGCATCACCTTACTGTCTCTCCGCTGGCTGTGCAAACCATTTAGGGAAATTTGCCCCAAAACTTTTCGGTATTGGGCTTTAAGCGAATATGATGTATCTGAAAAGGATGTTAATCATCCAAAGCACTAATGAGTAGTGAATTGCTTATCCAGTTGTGCAGTTATTACTTATGCAGTTAGTCTTTGCAAAGTCTGTATGTAAGTGCTAGCCACTCCTATTTCAAAATAAGCTACCATGAGTAAAACTCTACTCAGACTTCAGGCATCTGAAGTTTATTATTGTGAGTCTTCAAAAATGTGGATCAGATATGTGAAGGTACCAGTTTCTGGCATCTACCAAGTGACCCTGAACTACATCTCAACAGCACCTAACAGCAGAGTATTGATGCTGTGTCTAATCCTGACCAATGTCTAGACATTCCTCTGTCTTGAGGGATTTGGTCTCATTAGTCTAAAGTAATAAAAATGAAGCTTTATGGCAGTTATAGCAGGAATTAATTTCCACATAAAATGCTGTTTATGCTTTTCTTTATTTATGCAGATAAATAATCTCATCTGCATTCCTAAAACAAAGTTTTTCCAACTGGTCCAGAAAGATACTGGCCAGAACAGGCTATGTCCCAAAGAGATGTAATTACAAGTTACCTAAACTGCTTCCATTTTAAATAAGTACCAGAAAGATTAGGTTAAAAATAATCATCCAAAAATCAGTGCAAGGAAAAGCTCTGCCATGCAGCCCATGAAAGGTCAGTTTCAAATGTCAGCATTTCTGTGAGCTAAAAAGACTAGCAGGATGTTCTWCAGGCTGTATTGTTCAACCTTACTGCACAGGTTCCTTGTAGCCAAAGGAGCATAAGGCAGAAAGACTTCTTCAATATACTCTAGGCATCCTCTTTCAAGAAGAGCTTCTTGTGAAATTTTCAGACTTTAAGGTCTATAACTATAAAAATCTATTTGATGTGGTGCTCTAAACATGAATTRCATAAGGCTGACAATTTTCAAGCCTGTTTATAAGTCACGTACTCGCTGRAAGGGTTGTCTTAAGAATTTTTAGCACAGAGGCTGTGATCCATTTTAAGTGGGGTTCACTTACACCTGTCTGCTGTTATGTTTTTTTCTGGTTGATTATTTGAAAAATAAGGATAGCAGTTTAGCAATCAGAAATGTTTCCATTTATGTCTGAGTCCTCTATCTAAAGAAAGCTTATCATCATCAATAAATACTGGTTGAGAGGAGTTAAGGACTGGGTGAAGAAAATCTCTTATAGGAGAAAGATACTTCAGTGACAAGTAGCACATCATAAAATGCCTTTTTTTACACTAGTCATAGTGTTCTGCTTGTTGAACAAACTCAAACAAGAAGGGGGGAAGCTTGGATGTGGTAATGCTTTTAAAAGCAACATCAGAACATCACAATTGAGTTCTCAGCAATGGCTTCAGGTTTTGCTCTTCCTTAGGCTTTATTCTCTTTCTTTATGTGCATCTGAGTGCTAGCTGTATTTGCTATGCTTTCCAAATCACAAAAGATTCTGTCTTTTTTYCCCATTCTTTAGACAGGATTTGTAGCTGAAGTTGCTCTGAAATTTAACTCTTCAAAGGGAACATAATATGAAAACCTACTCTGAACAGCAATTCATTCAGCAGCAAAAAATTCTGTGGAAGATGTTTACACTTGCTCTTTCTGTGTGCAGGTGATCTTATGGTATGGCATAAAACTATTTAATTTTAATCTTCTTTTAGACAAAGAGGAACATGAAGCAGTGAACCAGGACAAGGATGTTGATTACAACTTAGAAGTGAATGAAGCTGAATCAGAAACAGACAAGCAAGCAGCACTTGCRGAGATTGAAAATGGTAAAATAGGAAAAAAACCACCCTTTTTTAATACAAATATCRCATGCTGAAAATGTTAAGATTATATTCTGCGCAGTATCCTGTAGCAAGCTATACCTAGATAATTTGTTTGTTCTTTGAGCTTTTCCTCATGTTTACGGTATGACCTGTTTTCTGTATAGCATAACCGAACCTACTCTTTCTGAGGGGATTGGTATCTATAACTTTACTGTGCTACACAGTATTTAGCAGTCCTTACAAATTGCCTCCTGTTGTTTTCTAGATAGAAGAATTTTCTATATGAAGAACTTCTGCGTCTTTAAGAGATTTCTGTACCTTTTTCTTCTCTTCCCCCTCATTAGTTCAAAGCCCTGAAGATATGAAGAACCACTTATCTGACCATGGRGAAGGAAGACAGAAGTTGTGAACAAAGAAGTTCATGATACAACTTAATCACCTCTTCATCTAGATGCAGCAATGATCAGAGTAAAGTGATGTTAGAAGGTTTTGATTATCTTCTAAATGCTTGACTAAGGGCCCAAAGGAAGTAATATTTTGTTGTGAARTTTTAGTCCTGTTGCGGTGGAGAAAAAAGGTAAATCTCTGGAGGCTTGTTTCAAAGCAGCTTGGCCTCTGCAATGACTTTCTCCTTCCTATCAATTACAAAATTGAAATCAGGTAGCAATAAGGGTAGTAACTTTGAAGTTGGCTACCTCGTATAGTCATACTACAGGAAGAGGATGTGTGGATTGGTGGTAGATGAGGAGCAGTCCTCTGCCAAGGATGGATCTCTCCCCTGCAATGCACAGTGGAGAAATCCCCAGCTTAGTCTTGAAAATTGAAGATGGAGCTATGTTGATGTAACAAAACATGGGAAGGATGAACACCAGTTCATGCTGCAATCTACCCTTGTGTCTGTCCTGGCACCTTTTTACTGTAACAGAGAGACTGAGAAAGCACAACTGTAGTCCTCAAATACTATGCAGATTGATACATTTACCTGGGCCTTCAAAATTAAATTCCTAGATTACACTATCATGATGTGTTCTTAGCTTCAAAATTAAAGAACCCAAAAATGATTCTGATAATAGCATCTTCTTATAAAGAGATTTGCCAGAAATCTTTTTCTGAAAGCCTTGCTGAACTCTACAAGGTCAGTACTACAATTTGGTTTGGTTACCACTAATTTGCACAAGTTTAGTGTAAAAATTCAAACTCATAAACTTTTCATAACAGAAATGCTTTGAAATGGTGTGCTACAACTACCCTACTCCACCCAGCCACTATCTTCTGCGAAAACAGAGGAATGCAAATGCTTCTAGGAGAAGCCTTGTAAAGCAGCAGTCTGAGCTGTTGAATGGGACTAACCTCTGCTGGACTTCTGAAGAGGTAACCAGATTATGCATTTAGAACACATGGCAGGCTCCCACAGGTGAAGCTGTTGTTGTTGTGAAGTCTATGTTAATCATCATGTATCATCTTGTAATGTTCTGCAGTCTTTTTCCTTTCTGCAACTTGTTCAATGTAAACTAGAAACTAGTTTACTTGAAGTAAACTATAAATACCCTATACTTATTACTAAGGCATCTTTAACTGCAGTCCAACCAGCATGTGCAGCCAGCTGGTTTTAAGAAATTTTTCTTTTTGYGTCTGCTCCCAAGACTGACACCTGTGTTTGGAGCAATCTTGGTGAGTAGGAACCAACCTCTATTGGGACAGCACAACAGCAGATAGCAGTGACAAACCTGCCAACCAGCAATTCCATTTAAGAAAATACAAATTTGTCTTTGCTTTCCCTTAAAACACTTAACTTTGTAGCTTCTTTCGTAGTGTGCTGTTCCTCAGTTCCTCACTAGCTTACAGCTGCTGTACCTGAAGATATCTAAATATGTAAGTGGAAGGTTGGCTTTTTTGTGTATGAAAAGAGTATTAGTTGTTGTCAAGTGAAGATCAGAGTTTAAGTCAAGTAATGCCTTTCAAGCCTAAGAACAGAAACAGATCACTGCTTTTCACCATTTAAGTAAGATTTAACTGGTCTGAGCTACTCCACAGCAGGGAAAACAAATGCTTGTTAGCAGGAGAGAAGAGGAATGAGCATCTGTTCTGATAAATACTGGGAAACTTATTGTTTTTTTTCTTTTCCCAAAAAATTACATTTTAAAAACAAAGTGTTTAATCTGGATAAAAATATCTACTCATCTCTGAGCATTTTCCCAGGACTGTATCTGCAAATAATTATAAAGCTGAGATTTAAGTTGATCGGGAATTTAAYACTGATTGTTAAAATGCATATAATCTAACAGTATAAAATAGTGAAACACTATATTCAAGTTGAATTAATAGCTTTACCAGTATCAAGTTAGAAAATCCAAAGAATCAGACCATTTAGGGTAATTAATACATTGCCAGAGAATTATTTTATAACTAATTACTTTGGCTGTGTTTCTGTATACCTTTGGGCTTCGCTTAGCCAACTGCATGTTGTCCTCCACAAATACAATCAACTCTGTACAAAGCATACATGTAAATCTCTATGGGTAAAGGGTCTGAAAACCTTCATATGAGTAATGTTCAAAAGCATGAAGGCTACAGTTTTATTTGCAATCTAACTTGGGTGGTAGATTTCTAGCAGGCAAGAGGCCTATATGTCTACTGTATAGAATTTTAGAATTAAAGGACCTTTAGTTTAACAAGAGATTAATTTGGAATTGTGGTGTACATAGTGTTGTCTCTCACTAGTTTTCAGTTGTGAGAAACATTGTAACTTTGCTCTAATCATCTCGGTGTTATATTAGAACTTTGGGATTTTGTCTTTTTTTWAAAAACTAAGCCTGATCCATTTTAGGTAAGCATTTAAAAATAATCTGCTGTCATGTATTCTCATTATTTGAATGCATTTTATCCACTTCTAATTTCAATGAAATGGGGAAATACTATTATTGCTGTTTTCTTTTTCCATAAATCACATGGAACTTGCTTTGTCTTTTACTTACTGCTTGCTTTAGAGAAATAACAAAGGCTGTCCTTGAGTTATTGTCATGCAGTTCAAGATTTTTAAGATAGGAATGATTTTTGTAACTATTTATAAGAAGCCAGATTAATGCTCTATGCTATTTTACATCTRCATATTCCAGGCTTTTTATTCCTTTGGCAGCTAGATGGAACCATTTAAGTATATTAATCATAATGATAAGCAAACATGTAATGTGATATGCCATCTCCTTAGCAGAGAAATTGGAAAAAACATGTCTTCAGGACAGTACTTCTGTTTATTTCAGGATGCTGCGGATTACTGGAAGACAAGTGGGTGTTCCACTTCATCACCCCTTGTTTTCAAGCTCTAGCTTGGTAGTGCTGCTGCTCAGGGGATGAAGMTGAAGTGACATTAATCCACAGCAAMATCAGGTGATAGGATTAACACTAAAAATGTCTTGCATGGTCAATATGAAGTTACAAGCTCATCCCTATGGAGGAATTAATTACACACCAAAATGATTGTCCTTTCCAACGAAGGATTTCCTTSTATGACCTAGGTATGATTTGTCCTTTAGTAAGGGCAGGGCAGCTTTCTGAGTATTTTTCCCTGCTTGTAGCAAAAGTTTGTTCAACACAACAGTTTACCTTTGTTATCTAATGTCTGAAAGCTTGGGAGGCAGAACTATTCTAGGAAGGCAAGGATAGGTTTGGGGCTTCTCATGTTTCTGATACCTACCTGTCAATTACTACAGAACACAGTAGGGTCCAGCAGCCCCAYTGCAGTCGAAAATGGAGAGTAAAGATCATGCAAGTGTAGCAATACCTCATTTGCAAGAACAAATACCAGGATTGTAACAAAGTTGCAGAATAGGTAAAATAGAGTCCTCAATGTCTGCTGCTATTGGTAGTGACTACTGCAGTGTTTGCTGCGCATATTCTCCAGCATTTTAAGAACATGGACAATGGAACAAATTCTAACTAGGAATCTTCAACAGGTAAATGACTAGTTTTCATTTATTCTTGATTTCTATAAAGAATGCTTTAGCTTGGAGGATGTGGAGAGAAAAAAAAAACCACAATATTTCTGTACTTGCAAGTAAGCAATTCTGATACAATTAAGCAAAACCAGGGAAACTCAYCATCTCTCCAAATGACTTTGTTCAATGCAGAATTGCAGTAGCTCAACTGTGCACATCGGACATGAGTCTTTATTGCATGATTTTTATTCAGTTCCTAACCCACCACTTTCTGAGAATACATTAATAAAAATTATTTATGATCAAAATCTGTAATAAAATCAACTAAGGGAAAACATTCCTTAATAATACAATTGATTAAAATCAGCTTCACGCATAATATCCATWAAACTTTATACAAACCACTTTAAAACAGCAGTTGTCATTCAAATCACATAAAGGCAGCAGACTACAGATATTCCACGTAACAGTACTTTTATCCTGAAGGTCCCTCGTAGTCTGAGTGCAGCACTAGATATTCCGTCCTAGAGCTGGTATCTGCTACACAGATATTCTTCAGTTATCCTAATAAAAACCTTGTTCTTCAAACAAGCTTCACAACTGGGAAGTACTTATGAGGAGAGAAGTCAAATTCTGGAGGAACCTAAAAAGAAAAGATTTAAAATATTAAACATCTTTGCATTTATAACTAATAATGAGAATTTTCTGTCTGCAGGTCAAAAAATTTTACAGCAACAGATTGAAACCAAAATAGTCCTCTTGGCATCTGCTAATTGTGGCAGCCATCACACTCATGATTTTGTTCACACAAGCTGCTCATACACTTGCTTTTTCCCCCTACTGAAGAATACCCATATTATGCTGTCCCACACCCATTTCTCAACTTTTTTTTTCAAAACATTTATATATTAGAGTTTTTCATATTTAGATAACTAGAACCATTTCCAGGGGGAAAAATAAATTAAGTTACTTTTCCTGTTCTTAGAATAACTATGGCTTAGAAGCTGTTTATTTGGCTCTTAAGAGATCTGAGGTGGTTTTACACAGAATTACAGGACCATTCAGGCTGGAAAATCTTCTGATCATTGAATCCAACCTTAATGTATGTATTACAACATTTTATGTTCAATGAAGCTGGCATTTCCTTACCTTAGAGTCTTTCTTGTGGCCTCCTGCCAGCAGCTTCATGACCACAATATTGGGTTTTGCAACTTTTAAAATTCGATTGACCTAAACAGAAAACAGCAAGAAGTCTTCAAGTGAAAGCATTTGACTTCAAAATTATTTTGAAGATAATACTCTAATGTCGACATACTATTAGCAATACAGCAGTTCTCATGCAGGATCAGTTTAACAGAGATCAGACTTTTTTGGATTTTCTTCTAAGTACAGCAGCTGGATTAATTTCATTTAATGAAAGGTGCATTTATTTTAAGAGTCACTTTAATAAAAATTCACAGACCATAGAAACCACAGGTTTAACAATTCTTGAACATTACTCTCCTGTCTACTCGTTAATCAAAGCACTCAGCTTTGCTCAGCATTTTGATGAAGTACATTCTGCATCTCAAGCACATCCAGATGAAAACAAACACTCTCTTTCAAGCAAATACTCCTTTTCTAGTATTTTAGTCTTACCTCATTGTCTGGATTCGGAATATTCTCAAGAATCATTTTAGCTTGCTGGTAGTGCTTGCTAGCTGCCATGTAGAGATCTGATGATTGAGGAGGTGGACTATACTTATTTAAATCAGACATTTCCTGGTGTGTTACAGAAACACATAAATACATATTAAAAAAAAACAAACCAAAAAACAACCTTACAATTGCCAGGAAATTTTATCACCTTAAATGCAAACAACTTACTAGAGTCAAGAGTTACACCAACTAAATACTGATTTTAAGAATCGAAAGTGAAGTTGAAAACGTTTATTTAAAATGGCAAAGTGCAAGCAGCAACACAGTGTTCAACCTACTACAATGCCACAAAACACAATGAAATTCTCATCATTTTTATAAAAGTCACGAATTTGAACAAATTGCCATTCTTTGCTTTAACAGTGCTATTCAACAGGGTATGAAATTACAGGAAAAAAATAGGTAAGAGTAAGTATATTATTTACTCAAAGTTACAGCAAGTCAGATGCTGAAACTGTTCAAAACTTCATTTTATATAATTTTGATTCTTCCAGCTTCTCTGTTTTTGATTAGGGATTAAAAAAAAAAACAAAACCCCTTTAATGACAAGGAGGAAACCATGATAACTTCTTAATTTCCACTACAACAGTTCATAACATTAAACTGGGGAGAGTGACTGGCATAGAAAATAGCGCTCTTTCAGTTCAGACTAACCCCACAAGTAAGTAGAGAATAAAAACCAGCTGGGTGAGCAGCAGGGGTACTGCAAACCTAGCTGAACACAAGCCAACAAGGTGCTCTTACTACAAATCAGACAGGCCTCATGTGGGAGTAAAGCAGCAGAATGGCCAGTAGATGAAGGAATGTTATCCTTCAGTATTTGTATTATATTATCTGAAATACTGCACACAGGTCTGGATCCACTCAGTTCTACCAAGATGCTGAGATGTGCAAATGGTTGGGGTCCTAGAGCTATGAACCACAAGGAGCAGTCAGTGGACCTGGACTTTGAGGATGCTAATGGGTAATTTTAATAGYAGTCTGCAACTACTTGAAAGACAGTTACAAAGGTGTCAGAAGATAAAGGCTCCTTGTTAATAATGGCAAACAATGTAACATAAGAGGCCACACTTGTGGCTTGGTAATTCAGACTGGGTATTAGGAAAAAAGAGTAGTGCAGCCCCCAGCCGGTTACCCAAAAACTTAATAGACAAAGAAAAGTAACTGGATCAGATTTTATCAAAGAASTTGGAAAATCTCCAACCTTGATTTGTTTCAGACTTGGCTAGACAAAGATACAGGTAATGTGATTTATAATAACAAGCCTCCACTGGTCCCTTCCAAACACCACTCAAAAATCTACTTTTTTGTTTTCCCATTTGCTTGCTGCACTAATAAAAACATGCTGCTGTAATTACCCACAGCCAAGAAAGTTGTTAATAGGCTTCCAAGAGATTAATATAAACCAACAGAATAATCTCAAACTGCCACACTGGACCAATTTTTAAACATTTAAGCATTGAAGTTTATTAATTCAATGCAATACATCTTCCTTGCACACAACTAAAGCTAGAAGTCCTTGCCATTTTGACAGTTTCAGTGTGAACTTTGAGACATTAATGGCTCTTTTTACAATGACAATGCTGTCTAAAGCAGGTGAGTAAATGAATTCTGTAAAAGCATAGGCAGCACCACACGTTAAGATTACTCACTTTAAATTGCAGGTAATGCACTGGGGGTGGTGTTATAACACTGTTGAATGGAGCAAATCTGTGCTCATATCGAACTTGTTCACTATCCAGTTCAAACTTAGGTTTTCTTACTTTGCCATCCATGTCAAATGCAATCATTGTCTGAAAGAAAAGGATAAAATACTAGCTTTATGTCATATTTTGCTGTAAGGAAGTTCAAAGTTAGGATTTAGCTGTAACTGGAAGGATAGAAAAACTATAGAATTTGCCATATAAAATTATTAACTTGAACTTAATTTCCAGACTCACTATAAAGAAAGAAGGCATGCAATGTATCCATGATCCCTATTACAAAAAAAAAAAAAAAAACAAACTAAAAACAAATAGAACATAAATTAGTTACCTTGTACATCCCAGCACACATATTTTGATATGCTTGACTCATGGTGATCTCTCTGCTGAGAGGGCGAACTGCAAATTTTACATAAAAGTATTTTTAATTCAATGTAAGTACATGTAGTAATTTCAAACCAAAAGAGTTCTTCCAAATTTCCACAAACTGACCTAGCTCTCACTAATATTTTTAAATAACTGAAGTACACAAAGCCTAGATACGCATTTCTGCTCACCCGGCTCCCTGTCACATAAAATACCTCAAGACACACTAGTCACATGAACAACATGCTGCTCTCAATGAAATAAACTAGTCAATGATGCTGTGACACTGAGCAACAGCCTCATACTCAACTGTAGATAAGAGGTCTGTTTGCTTCAGGGATTTTTTTTGACTTAAGGCTGATAATAATCCTGATACCCTAATAATCCTGATAGCATTCCTTTAAGTTTCCCTTTAGCGTCCAGGATTTAACTACTGCCAAACTGTCCAACACTTGGCATCTTCAGTACATTAGTAATTTGCTAAACTTCTAGAGACAAGGGAACTTAATTGATATGATCCTGAGCTATTCATATCCAATTGTTCTTCCCCTTGAAAAGGTGGCAAGGAAACTCACCAATGTAAAATTAGGAAATATGCTTTAAGAACTTCTAAAGCCAAAAAGAAGTTACAGAAATATGCTCAAAGTCTAGTGTTTGGGTCTACTTACATTCACTAAAAGCCTAATTCTGCAGAAATGACAGACTGTGAGAAGGTCCAACACATAACACAACTGATGAAACTGTGAATATAAACGAGTTTGTGTTTTTCTGAAAGCTTTATTTGAAAGTAAGTAACTGACTAGCTAAATTGGAAATTTTGAAAAGTTTTACATTCGGCCTTCATAAACTTTATTTTTCCTACCCGTATTAGTGTTGGCGCTGTAAATTCTGGATTTTAATTCTACATGGCTGCATGAAAAGGAAAAAAAAAGAATCTTAACACTCTACACCTAGGTACCTTTCTTCTTTTTCTTTGTTTTCTTACTACTACGGCCTTTCTGTTGTTCCTCCATGATCCTCTCCTCTGCCATTTGAGAGCTATCGGCACGGCTCAGCGTTGACATCAGCCAGGCATAGAGGAACTCTGAGAGATACCTGCATGGAAACAGCACAGAGCTATTACAGGCTGCAGTGCACCATGCACTCATGCTGTGTGCATCCCTGCCAAGCGCCAAGGCACTTACTCCAGGATGTAAAGGACAATGTTCATGGGCAGTTAAACTCTTTCTTTTGCATGGCTGGAATCAACACATCAGTCTATGTTCTTGTTCCGATTCAACCACAAACAGCTTAAGGTATCCAACTTTCTAACACATTTACTAAGTGTAGTCTAAGCTTCATATTTCAAAATCACGTAAGATCACATTTTTCTAGAACCCTTCCTTCTCTATGAAATTTTTTTAAAGATACTTTTCTATGATTTATTATTCTGATAAACAAGATTACTACTGGCTTTTTCAAGCATTAAAAAGCTGTGAATTACTACATAAAGGGGTGAAGCCCACAGACACAAATCCACATTCAATTATTTCAAAGTTATTCAGACATCTTTAAGAACAATTTCTTCGAACGTGGAAACTAGTCCCATAAATAACCTGATTAACTTCAAAAAGAACAAGGGAAAAAGAACAGAAAAAGAATTACAGACTTGGAGCACAATGAAAATGTAGTAATAGTTTATAAAAAGGTATAACTCAGAAGAAAAACTACTGAGAAAACTGAGTTTCATTTACACATTACCTCACAGGAATGGCTTGGTTTTGTTCTTCACTAAAGTAAAAAAGCAGTTGACATGACAATTACAGCTTAGAGTGATTTTACTAAAATGGTAAAGTGAAATATGGACAGGTAAAAAACCCACTGTCTTACACAAAAGTTGGCATTTCCTATTGAGGTTTTACTTAAAGAATACTGCCATCTTCTGTAATGTTAATTTTCTCACTTAACATGCTATTGAAACAACACAGAAACACAATGAAATACACTGAAGTTTGTGTCATTTGAATTGCTCTCATCTGTCACTAAGAAAGCTTACAACTTACATAGAAGTCTCTTGGTAGCTTCCCAAAAAAACCCAATAACTTCCACGTTTATCTTTTGGCCCAAGCTATTAACTTTGGAAAATGATTAATGTGAATGGAAGTGGAAAAACGAAAGTATTCTGTCTCCATATAATGCAATCATTTTCACTAAAGGCAGAAGATATCTCTTCAAATATACTCTAAAGAAATTAATTTTAGCTAGTCAACTTTCAGATTACACTTATAATTTAAAACTTTGCAGAACTTTTCCAGAATACTAGAGATACAAGAGGAATACAAGATMATCAATCTTGTTATGACAAAACTAGAAAAGAATAAAGCAAATTGCTTTTCTCCTGCATGCTCTTGTCTACCAAAATTAGCACATTTTTCATTCATTATCAATACAAGGCTTCGTGCCAATAAACTAAACAGAATGTGATTTACTATTTCAGGAAAGAAAAAAAACCAGTCTTCACTAAGTCCAAGTCTTCAGTCTTCAATGATTTTTTTTCTCCACTGGTAGATAGGTAAACCACAGTACTGAGCAAGTTTGAAATTATAAAATCATATTTCAAGTCCCTCCTTCAAATATTTCTAATTATAGCTCTCTGGGAGTGTCCCTCCATGAACAGCTGTCAATAAAGCATCTTCTTACCAGTAGATGTAGTAATATTCATGCATACTGTAAAGTTCCAACTCAAAGCCACTGAGAAGATACTGTATCATAATACGAAGGTTATGATACAGGACCCAGGTGCCCAAGCAGGCCAAATGTTGCCTTTGTGGTTCCTGCTTCAGTAACATACTATGAAGCGCTGCATCTACTTTCTCTGCCTGTTGGAAAAAAAATAAAAAGACCTTAATGTAACAGACAGAAGAGGAAAAATATTTGACTGAAACACCATCCCAAGCCAGAAATAAAATCTTAGCAGAATCCTAACAAACTGAGTCAGTACATTCATGTTCCAGATTACAAGACAGAAATAAGTCTAGAACTGTCATAAAACTGGAAAGACACGTAAGTAAATTCTGCTGCACAGAATAAAAATACTCTATACAGTAATACAGCAAGAACATTAGATGGGTAAAATTTGTAATTTTTAAATGTATTTGTATATAGATCATTAGCAGTCAGGAACACTGAAACTCAGAACCCACTACACACTATTGTTCATTTTTCTATATTGGAAATAATTAATTCTCTTTTTTTAAAAAACCTAGCTGCATTGAAAAAATAAATTTGTAAGTTTAATATGCATGAAAGTCACTGTGTTCCACCAGAGTAACTAAAATACTGCTAAGACAAATTGGTCTTAAGAAGCAGATTGTATTGAAGATGAGAACTTGGAATATCGTCAGTAATCCTGAACAGAACAATCCATATAACCTGCGACAAAATGAAAAAAAAACAAACCAGTGCCTCAGTTACCATACAAGAAAAAACTCAATCAAACCACCTTGAAAAAAGCTGGAGCACACAAAACCTCCCTCCAAGTTCCTCAATTGTTCTCCCTGCAATGTACATCTTGAGAAATATTTTACTATTATATGACTGTCACTGCTGAAGAAACATTATTTCCAGCATGAGAAAATATCTACTTTTTCTCATCTCTCCCTCCCTATTCTTAAGAGATGTCCAAAATCAGAGCACATATTTTAGAGATTATTTTTAACTTTCTTTTTAACCTTATAAAATTTTACAGTTTACATCACACCTAAGTACAAGGCTGAATTTTCAAAGGTGTCTTGTAAACAGGCGTTATCTATCTCCCCCTGGTTACATGTTGCAGACTAATAATCACAAGCAGGGTAGAGACTAAAAGCTGTGCAGTTACCATTAAAATATATCACAGCAGGTTTTCTGAAGTCTTCTTCAGAACTTTTAAGGTTCTTAAAAGATGTTGTATGTTTTTCTTCAATACATCTAACACGAAGTTTGTGGATGCATCCTAACCATTTCTTGGGCTAAAATTTAGAAGTCCTAAAGGATTTTGCTTCATTAATTTAGAATCTAATACATGCTTCACTCTATCAGTAATATGCCTGGAAAGAACATTTGCTAGCCTGCTGCCCAAGACATTACCTCATCCTGTAGTGTGGCAAATTCCTCAAGAATGTGACCCAGTTTGTCTCTCTGACGAGCTCTGTTGTGTCCATGGATTTGAATCAGACTACAGAATGGCTGAAAAATCAAAATGTAATTTTAAGTTATCAAGGCAACTTTGAAACTACAGAACTATGATGTCTATTTGTATATTTGTATATCCCATGATATGTCTATTTGTATATTTGTATATCCCATGTATATTAAGAGGGGATTCCTTAACACTCCCTACAAAGTGCAAGTTAGCAGGAAAGCAAGCATTCTGGAGTGATGCAAGAGCCAATTTCTCTGTGCACAAGTTAATGTCAAGATTGAGTGAGCTATTGATCCATCAGGAAATGTCACCAGAACAAAGGATATTTCTTATGCCTAAATCCATGTGCCCAGGTGGCTAAKGTGACCAATGGCATCCTGGCTTGTATTAGAACCAGTGTGTCCAGCTAGACCAGGGCAGTGACTATTCCTCTGTACTCAGCACTGGTGAAGTCAGACCTCAAATCCTGTGTTCCCTTCTTGCAGCCCCCACTGCAAGAAAGACACTGAGGASCTGGAGCACGTTCAGTGCAGGGCAATGGAGTTGGGGAAGGGTCTGGAGCACAAGGCCTGTGAGGAGCATCTGGGGGAGCTGGGGGTGTTCAGTCTGAAGAAAAGGARGCTCAGGGGAGACCTTATCACTCTTAAAACTGCCTGAAAGGAGGTGCMCCCAGTGCAGGTTGTCTCTTCTCAGCAGCAGCAAGAGACAGAACACGAGGAAAGAGGTCTCAAGTTGTGCCAGGGAAGGCATAGATTGAATATTAAAAAAAAAATTCTTCACAAAGAACTTTGTTAAGCATTGGAACTAGCTTCCCAGAAAAGTGGTTGAGTCACCATCTCTGGAAGTACTTAAAAGATGGTACTTGGGGTCATGGTTGAGTGGTGGATTTGGAGTGCTAGTTTGGACTTGATGAGTTTAGAAGTCTTTTCCAAACTAMATAATTAAATGATTTTCTTAAGATTTTCACCATGCCACATTCAATAACTGAATCTTTTAAAATAACTTAAAAAATTGAAATTGGAGAGAATATAAAAATATTTTTGCTTTTATTAGTGCTGTGCATTTGTTTTGTTACATGAAACTACCCTGTAAATAGGTAATAGGTACCAATTTCTTTAGAAGTGGAACTTCAAATAAAAAATCTGGAAGCAGGAAAAAAACAATAATAATTATACCAGCTTTTTAAAAAAGCACTACCAATTTAAGACGGCCAACTTCAATCTTCTCTTTATGCCAGGTATCTAAAATAACTGGTCTCATTTTCAAATGTATGCCAATCTGCCAAGYACACAAACATGCTGTAATTGGAATGCACACTTACCCGAACGCAATGTGTGACAAAGGAATCAATGTAGTCCTTCGCCTGGTGATTATTATAAAGACAACACCTAAAAGGAAAATATCCATATACATACATATTCTTTATAAATGCCACCAGTCTCCGTAGCACGAGAAAAAAACATGACTGCAGCACCAGCAACTGACTCCTTTATATACGAGCACTAAATACAAAATATATGGTTTTCGTACATGTGTCATTGCTCTTGTAAGCAGAAACATTTTTCATCAGACATGTAAACACATGCAAGTAAACTCAAGATCCACTTACTTTGGAGAAAGTACTGGAGGACTGACGAAAGACCTTAAGGCATCTTTTACCATGTCTTGCATGAGGTGAGTGCCAAACACCTTCTTGTTATCTACTAGAAAAGTTGTCTAAAAATAAAGTTATGTTTTTAGAAACRTATTTTAAGTTAAAACTAACGCTCTAGAATTACTAATAGAAAGCTCTGGCAGTACCTATTATATATAAGAAATCTGTAAGATTACTTTATGCATTAAAATGATTCAAAACTAGGTCCAAAGTTAAAGATTCAGAAATGTTGAGATCTGACACTTCTGTGGTATTCCCAGGACACTAAATACAATTCTATTACTTGTTTAAGGCAATGCATGCAAAATTATTTTATTTCTTGGACTTTGAGGATGATAACTGAATAATATTTCTGAAGAGTAGCATAAAATATGTGCCTTCTCTGGAGGCAGATAAGACAAAATCTCCAGACTACTGACAATGTTTTTCAATCCCTATGGATACTACTGCTTACATCAGTCATGTCTGATACTAGTTTAAATTAACTGTACTCCATATGTGCTGCATCCCTTTCTTACATGGTTTTTCAGCAGCTGGAGAAAAAGCTCTGCTGTTAGGCACCCAAAGGGATTACACTAACACATGTAGTGGAAAGTCAGAACATGGTATGAACACATTTTACTTGTCAATAGTTATACTCCATTGGCTCTACATATGGTTTAATAGGAATCAAATGTAAAGAATTTCTGGCCCCCAGGGGCACCCTACTAAAATCAAAAACTTCTAGAAGGAATTATTTACTCAGAGTTAATGAATGTACACTGCACTTTCAAGGCAAGAGAAGCAGTGAGAAGAAATAGTCTTTTCTGTATTAACCATCAGTTTTACTGTAGTCGCAATAGAAGCAGTCTATACATAAATTCTGTCTAAACAGGGAGAGGAATACAAACACCAGCTCGAGACTGGCACAGCATGCAGAGAACAGAATAAAAATGTGTGTACAGGCACAGCTTTATGGCAGAAGAATCAACACCTTCTGTTTTAATTAGCACATACTCAAATGATAAAGCAACACTATTAAAAAATTATTTTTAAAATTAAATCAGAACATAAGCCTTAATATACAGAATCACAGAATGGTTTGCATTGGAATGGCCTTAAGGATCATCTAGTTTCCACCCCYCCTGYCATGSGCAGGGACACCTCCCAAGCTTTGAACACTTGGTGGAGCATCTACAATTTCTCCCACACAACTCTGGACAACCTATTCCAATGCCTCATCATCCTCACAGTCAAGAATTTCTTCCATAATAACTAATACTTACTTATCACCAGAAAAATTYTTACCACTTAAATATCATTAAATACACATTATTACAATACTTAAAACAAAAACAGGAATTTATAATGAATGCAGAAGTATTTTATTCATAGATATAATTAGGACTTGCCTGTAACAGGGATCTTGAAAGAACACATGGAGATTGCTCACTAAACTCACAGAAAAAGTCCTAATGTAAATTTAGGAAAAGAAAAAAAAGATATTTCAGGTTAATATGCCAATCTGTGTATGCGTAAGTATACACTAAATCATTTTTACACACACAAACATGCACGCACACGCACACACGCACATTTGCATGTTTTCTGAACACACCTATACAACTGTGTAAATACACCTACATTTTGTTTAAAGACATACACAAACATAGCATAGCATCATACAACTTGTAAGAAAATGACCATGAATAGTTTGAACAGAAAAAAAAATTATGAAGGTTTTCTGCAATTGTAACTTAACAAAAAGGCTTCTAAATTTTCAAGTGCAACAACTAGAAACATGATGATAGTACAGAACAAACAATACAATGAGATTGTTAAGATAATGATRTAACTAAACCCGATATTGAACAAAACAGAATTGATTTAAAAAAAATTGAAAGCCAGGCAAAGCTTWACTGGTACCATGTGCTTCATGCAAACACTGCTTTCATTAATTGACAAATGTAACTGTGTTTCTTATCAGTCAGTGAATGCATGGACATTAAAAAATATTTCAAGCATTTAAGTGTCTTCCAATAAATGTAGGCAGTAACTAAGAGTAACACCAGTTTTTCATGAAAGAATACAAGCAGGTGCTGAATGCCTATTTAGGGAACTGCATGCTTAAAYGAAAGTGTATTTAATGCTCTCTTTTGTTACATGCACATGTGCAGAATACTGCTTAATGAACCTGAAAACACCGGGCATACAGCAAAGAATTATGTTCTGATTCTGTAGACCGGACTTTTCAAAAGGAAACTTGGCTGGCCGTTGCCACTAACATGCATAATTATGTCACAGATTATGGGAAAAGTGGGAGGTATGAGAGAAGAAAGCTTTGTCAAAAGAAGAAAAATATTAAGTATCAGGAAGGACAATAAACTGAAATTGTACATAGCAGTGAGAAACACCAAACACATACATAGTCCTCAGTTTTTTCTCCAATGAGCATGAGCATCTCCATATGGAATGATTTTTTCGCAAATGACATTTTCTGATCTTATTTTTGGCAATAAGTAAGAAATATTCATGCTTACCAGTATACAGTGCAAATTAGTTAGGTTGACTACTTCACATACAGTTTTTATTCGGTCTATTAGTTTGGAAAAATAATTGACCATTTCTTCCCGTTTAATAATTTTTGCATATCGAGGGAAAGTTGGTGGCAACAGTCTCTGATTAACAAGTGGCTCAAACCCCATCATAATAGGATGATCTAAAGGAGGAGGGGGGAGAGAGAGAAGATGCATATAAGCTGTGTTTTCAGACCACACTTCAAAGTTGCAAGTACAATACCAATTATTCAATCAGCCAAAATGAATTCTTTAAAGTGACAGATAACTTCCTGAGACTCCAATAACCCAACTAAGACAATGACTACTATTTAAAAAAAACACCAGTCCTCAATACTTCAACGTAGACCTGTACAAACAGTGAAGCGCTGTTCCCTATTTTAAAATTACATACATGCTGATGAAACGCACCTAACCCAAAGTGCTCTGGCTTTGAAATGCCTATTGCTTTCAGGAGAACTACCACTTGGTAAAATAAAATTAAAATCAAACAATGCAAATCAGTAATAATGACTGGAATAATGAGTCTTTTAGTGCAAAGTAAATAATGATTGCAACTTTTTTTAAATACATTTATAAAGGGATCATATCCAAGAATGGAAAAAATGTAATTTGATACATACCTCCTTTAGTGGTATCATTTTGTGCCTGCATACCATGATGCAGTGAATTGTGTATGGCAGAAAGCAAGTCAGCTGCTTGAGTCATWAGTTTCTGAGCTTCTGCAACTGCACTTGTCTGACAAGCAGGAAACAACTATTAACATTATGAACCAATATATTCTGACTATATAATTAATGTAAGTATAAGAAAAAAGAAGGGCATTAGGATTCTGATGTTCTTACACAACCAGTTCTGAAAAAACCTAACCCAACATTTTTGTGCAATGCCTTGTATTTTATGTATTACATAAATTCAACACTATATATTTTGCTGTGTAAAGCTTAATGATAATTACAACTGAAAGTCTTGTATACACTACATGAGAGTCTACTCCAGGGGGACATGTCATTCTATTCCTTTGCCTTAAAACTTTAAGTTCCTTCCCTTCTCACAATTAGGAAATCTTACATTCAACAAACAGGCAAATTGTATGGAATGCTATTAAATAACTCATCTCAGACCAAAGATGTCTAGCAACAAATTCAGTATCACATGGAATGAAAAGCTAGCATTTCTTTTGATATGGACAAAAGACTATCCAGTGTCAGGTAACTCCAAAGGATGGGAGTAAACTCAAAAAAGAAAACATTTGCTCATATGTGTGAAAAGAGTAATTAGAAATCTGTAAATATTTTTACATGTTTTGTAATGGATATTCTGTCTTTCTGCAAGGCCATAATAATGTCAGCTACTAGCCTTCCCAGTGTTCCCTACTTTCAACAAAAACTGAGTATATGCCACTGTAAGGCTTTATTCAAAGCTTTTGCTCCATCCACATCAATTCAAATCTCCTGAATCTACACAGTAATTGCTGGATCTTAAAGAATGAAAAATGAGTATTTCACAGGACCACAATGCAAACACAGACATGCCAAATGAACGTACCTCTTTTTTTGTAAATGCTATTAGGACAGTTAGTAGAACCCGGGTAAACTTGACTCTGCTGAACACAGCTAAACACTGCTGATGCTGTAATAAAGTTATACCGCTGATTATTAAGTAATAGGTATTAGATCACAGAATTATAAAACATCCKGCGTTGGAAGAGACCCACAATGATCACCCAACTCCTGCCCTGCACAGGATCACACCAGGAGTTACACCGTGTGCCTGAGAGCTGTCCAAATGATTCCTGAACTTGGAAAGTTTTGGTGCTGTGACCACTTCCCTGGGGAGCCTGTTCCAGTGCCCAGCCACCCTCTGGGGAAGAACCTCTTCCTAATATCCAAGCTAAACCTCCTCTGAAATAACTTCAGGCCATTCCCTTGGGTTCTGTTACTGGTCACAATAGATCAGTGCCTGCTCATCCTCATTCCCTCATGAGGAAGTTTTAACTGCAGTGAGGTCTGTCCTCAGTCTCCTCCAGATCAAGTGATCTCAGCTGCTCCTCACAGGCCTTCCCCTCAAGGCCCTTCACCATCTTCCATTGGACACTCTTTAAAGCCTCAATGTTTTCTTATATTGTGCCCAAACTCCCACAAGACTGGCCCTCCCTGCATAAACACCCAAAGTGCCTCAGCATGCCCTGACTGGTGTGTCCTGCTCTGTTTGCCAGCTCTCCACCATACTCCTGGGTGATCACACTCTCCCAGCTACTTTTTATAGCACGGGTGGGGCTWTACCCTATTTAAATCTCCCAATTACATCCATGAAATCCAGGAAAAAAAGCAAACRGTTTATTACTTCAAGTTCAACTTCCGGATCTCTCTCTTCTCCTTGTCGACTTCGAGTGCTCTACAAGGTAAAGAAATGTCAAACAATTTACTAAAAATTGTAAAGGGAAGCTACTAATAAAATACCTTTGCCTTCTCTAAAACATCCATCTAAATAACTCCAAATCAGTTTTAAAATTAAAAATKTCTTAATACATAATCCAGGTACTTGAATGACCCTCCTACAGTACTGATATATCTCAGTAAATTCTGCAAATAGGCAAGGAAAGTGCAGGAACATTTTACTGTTCATTGTAAGATATGGTAAAGAAAATTAAGTAACTTCTTTAACAGTATATAGTATATCTGCCTAAACCCCTGAAATTAAATATGTACTTTCTGTATCCCAGCAGTGTTATCTTCTATACTGTAATTCCACCTACTACTAGTGAAGCAACTACTAAAGAAAAAAGTCTGAAGATTTCACTATCTTTAGCTAGAAGGCAAACTAAAAGCATGTTAAAGAAACCATTGTGTCAGTTCTTCAAACTATAATGACTATAATGACACAAAACTCCTTCATTTTTCATAATCCAACTCCCTTCCCCAAAATTATATTAAATACACCTGACACATAGCTGACAAGATAAACAAGAAAACAATACCTTCACTCGTCTTTGCATGTCATCTTCTACATCTTTCAGCATACCTGGAAAAAAATCACAGCATGATTAAAAGCTGAGAAACATTCCTAGACACACCTACAGCACTCAGAGGAGAAGAAGATCTTTTTGGGAMAATCAAAAGTGCTTTACATACCCATTAGTCAAAGACCAGACAAAAAATATTCTTGCGAGGAATGGTGGGGATGTCTTGCAATGATCAAAAATCAGAATATAGACTAACTGATCCAAAGCTAAAGTATTCACAAATGTTTCAAAAATAAATTCATGTAAAGTTCAAGTATGTATTAAAAGAAAAGGTATAGAAGGATTAACATACRTACTTACGTATGTACCTAATAACATCTGTATTTATAGCTGTAGAATTACTATATTGACTTTTTTTCTAAACCAACCACTTTAGAGGACAACAAATTGTGAGGCGAAAAAGCAGAACTCAAGCAATGCACTTTCCAGTGGTCTGTATCTATACCATGATGAGCTTATGCCTAGTCACTTTGTTGGCACATCTGAAAACACTTCTTCTCTTTCTCAGGCACTTAACACAACAACTGAACCTTTTTTATAAGGAAAAATAATTTTATCTCTCTTTTTACCAAGTTAGCAATTTCCACAAGACTAATAAAAAAAACTTAACAGCTGAGAATCCTAGTAATTCATTAGATGTGACTGAAAGTAATCACATGCTCAAAAGAGAAAGAGGCTGCTGGAGAGACACAAAGAAAGCACAAACTGTACCTGTAACTCTAAGATCAGTCACACTGTTGGCCATTTTAAATCCATAAGTCATTGACTGAAAATCTTCCTAAAACAAAAAAAATCAAGGAATTGATATATAGAGAAATATAAAATCTGTAGTTACATTTTCAGATTGGAGTTTTAGTTTTGTTTTGGACTTTTGGGGAGTTGTTTTCTTATTAGATTTTGGTTCTTTTTGCTGTTTCTTCTTTTTTGGGCGAGTCGTTGGGGGCGTGCAAGGGGCGTGCTTTTGTGTAATTCCATCAAGTGTAAAGGTCCAAATGTATTCTACACAACTGAATACACTCAGAATGAATACACTGARTGACTTTCCCACCCAAATCCATTGTACGGCAATTATTTTTTGCACAAATCCTTAATACCAACATGCCCTTCATATTTTCATCAAGTGACACCCTACCAAAATGTTCTAAGAACTACAGCTGTAAAATCATATTTACTCCATCTTAGATATAGTCAGCAAGAGTGACTTAACCAAGCACAGAGGAAACAAAGATTGCTCTGAGCACAGAAAACTAGACTCTGATCCCACTGACAGATGGACATTTTAGACAGAAGATAATCATGAGTATCTTACGGGAAAAAAAAAAAAAATTAAACCGGAAGAAAACCATAACTGAAACTTATTTCAAAAGGTTAGCCACAAGACTTGCATTGCTTCTTGAGTAAGATACTTATGTGGCTCCAGCATTCAAGGAAAACACAGAAGAGAGTATGAAACACCTTAATTGAGGAAAACTGCATTTTCATAGGTATCAAGTCTCATTACTTATCAAAAGTAATACTTTCAGGAYGGTAAATTGCTACTCCTACAGCAGCCTCAAACATTAATGAATGTCATTAATAYATTGTTTTATTTGCACTATCATATAACGTTGCATATTTATCCTCATAGGAGACAGGAACACAGGAGATGCGAAACACATACCTCCTCAAAAACAGCTGCTTTATTAACCTTTTCTCTGGCAATATCACAAATTTTTAGGATTCCAAGAGCAAAAGCCTTCATTGCAGGATCTTCTATGAAGTCTGGATTATGAATATAAAGACAAGTGAATACTGTCTGTGCCAAGGAATGTCCTTCCAGCCATGTTATCTAGAGAAAAGAAAATTAAATGTTTTACTCATGACAGCCAACTCCTCATTTTTATAGATCTGTTCTTTTTCCATTTTATTGTGTTTCAAGGATTCATTAAGAAGCTCCTTATCATGGCAACCTTTCACATACCAAAAAAGGGCAAGTGAAGTTGTTGCAAGCCTGGAATTCTCATGTTGAATAAACTTCTTCTATAAAGTTCAAGTCTAATCCCTGTGATTTAGACATGACATTATGTTAAGAGACCTTCACATTTATAAGCTTTCTCTGCATACATAGTGAATGGAAAATACAAATGACTATGAGACAATTCACAAATATTCTTCATGTTCTCTCTTAAAATGTAGGGCTTCTTGTCACAATCCCCTCTCTCTATACAATGATCTTTACATGTCTTTCTGATAAAACTGATTGGAAATGTTTAAAAAATGTTATTGATGTAACTTTAAAGATTAACTTTAAAGATTAGTATCATTTACTGAGGAAATTAAAGCAYATACCCAGAAAAAAATTGTAATTAACAAGTTATTTAACTTATGTTTAACTGACATTTGTTAACTTATGTTTCACATGACATTTAACTTATGTTTTTCTAAATGGATTTATTTTCTTTCTTCAAAATGCCTCTGTAAGCTCAGTAAATTCTGGTCGTACATAAAGGAGCAACAGAGCACTATCAGTTACTGCACACTCAGCTTCCAACACAGTCAAAAATCAATACACAGCAGGCAATCAGATAACATACATTTATAAAACAAGAAACTATAAAAGCTTTTAAAGGTTTTCAGGTGCTACCAGCTATCTTCCYTATTTCTTATAGTAAAAATATTAAAAATCAAAATTCAGCCTTTTATAATAGACAACACAATAGAAATTTAAATACTATATGTATATTTTCTGCTTGGTGAATCTTTTTTTGAGTTCTGCTAGTTTTTTTCTTCTTTTTTCTTAAGCTACATGAAAGAATTGTATTTTGAAAGAAAAACCATCTAACCTAAAGAACAGAAGAATGCTTACCAAACAACAAAAACATGTATCCATTATTCCTACCAGCTCTGGTGAAGTGAGATCCTTTATTTTAATGGTGCCATCCTTAGAAAAAAAAAACACAAAACAACCAAAACCCTAAATACTATGGATGCATACAGACAAAATACAATTTATTTGTACAAGCAAAAGGGAAATGAAAATTTGTTTAGCATTTCAGAATATTTGTACACCAACAGCTATACTTATCAGCCTCACAACATATCTCAAATTCTTAAAAACTTTGCCTTCTCATCAGCTGAAAACTGAGCAAACATAAAACTACCCAAAGACAATGCTAGTCACAATTCTGACCTATGACTATCCAAAAACAGTTTTAAGAACAGTGAACTGTCAAAACTAAAATCATAAAACAGTATAATCATAATAAAGCTTGAACAAGGAATAATATGCAGGACCAATTCTTTGAAGACTGCTTTTTAAACTGGAAATACTTGTAGTGTTTTACTGCCTTAAAGATTCAACACCAAAAAGACCCCAACTTTACTCTGATAATTTAATTTGCCCAATCAATACAATTTAAAGCATACATTCTACATCACTTAGCCAGTGTTTTACTGAGTTGTTTGGCTCCATTCAAAATGAAGTTCACCATAAAAGAACACTTTTCCCTATMAGTACATTATTTTTTCCCAAAATAACAGAAAGTCTTTCAAAGCCTCCCCACCAATTTATCTTGATCATAAATCAAAAGTTAATCTTTCCTGTTGGTGAATTTTCCAGCTTCTGTTCAATGCTAATAAACTCGAGGAATCATAGTGTTAATTTCCATCTTCTTTTAAGGAAGTTGGTTTTCAGATTAAATAGAGGCTAATGAATATATCTTAATATAAAAGGCACATTTTTAAGAAGTACAGAGAGACTTCCAAAACTATTTTGGTWATACATTTACTTGAAATATTAATACCCAATAATTCCACAGTACTTTTCACTGGAAGAGTTAGCATAAATGTGATAATGCAGGTAACAAACAGGTAAACATCATAAGCTATTTGTTACTGAACTATCCAGAATAAAGAGAAAAATACAAATTTCAAGTGAAGATTGAAAACATTAATTATRCTGAATCGTGTTCAACTGTCGTTTGGCAAAACTGCGTATTTTTACAAAACAGTGTAAGCAAAACCAGGAAATTCAAACGAACCTTAATGGCTTGCTCAAAGTTAAGAACCTTTCTGTTAACTTGGTTTCCAATCATACCAGCATCCATCTTGGGATCCATCATTTCAATGGCAGACATGGCTTCAAAAAGACCAAAACTAAGAACACAAATTAAMAAAAGGTGCTGAATGTAATTATTTTATACAAAGTAATCTTCATGAACAAATGRGAAAGAGCATAGGATGAAAAACCAAGTACACCGTGTTCTGACCACAGACAATAAGGCATATGAACATTAGTACTAATCTTCAGAAATGGTTTTCATGAAGTTAAGAATATCTCAACAAGTTAGTACAAAGAGAGACAGCCAAGTGTAAAAGAAAACTATTTCTTTAAAAATGAAGAACACTCCTTCCCAGCTCAATATCCCATTACTGCATCTTTGCACATTTGTTTATATACATTACATAGGATCTTTTGAAAGATCACATAAAATAATAAACTGATATTAATAAACTGTTATTACACCATACCCAAAAAACCAAGGTATATCTTCCACAAACTAATAACACAAATGACATAGACTAATAAATAATGAATATACCAGCTTTTWAAAAATTGGGCATATTGAATGCCCATTCATTTGAAAGCAGAATACTGATACAAGAAAACCCTTCATGTAACAACCTATCACTTGTAGTCAAGGCATAAAAGTTTGCAGAAGAGCCACAGCAAAAGACTTGCCTATAAAAGAGGAGACAGACTGCCTCACTTTATCACAACATTCATCAGAACTCCTGCAACAGTCTTTATAATACAAAAGGTTTATTGCATGTGGTACATTTAAATTCTAAAAAGTGTATTTGCTCTGAAGTGCTCTTATTTATAAAACTACACCTCAAATTCTGCTTTAATTCTGCTAAGTAACTAGCTGGTGACATCCTTGCACATGCTTTTAAGCAGGTTTTCATTTAATAGTGTATTTCTKTTTTCTGGGCTATTAGTTTCAAATAAGCACACTTTCCTTCACTCAAGTGAACACCTTTTTCTGGCTAAAGAATTTAATATTTAAAATATTTAAATTCTTTAAATTCATAATCCTTTAATAAATTCAGCAAGTCTTTGAGTACTTTTCTTTGAAATATACTTTCAATTGGTTCACACTTTCTCCTTCAGCACGATATTTAAGTTACATTAAAGCATATGGCTTGTTTATCAAAAACTTGATAGTGACATTTGAGGCAACCAAGTTTACAGTCTTTCTGACATTTTTTCATAGAAACATAAAATAGTTCGGTAATGAAATTGCCACAGATGTGCTATAAACTTCTGAAATATAATTTCAATCAAATGGAAAATGTAATGTTATACTTAGATAATCAGGTATGTTTAGCATTCATATATGTGCAACATAYACATACTGTTGAGGATCTGTGATATTCCATACACTTCAAATACTTTATGTAACATCAACATGTTTGTAGTAATTCTATTTAAAAGGTACAATCATCCCACATGCATACTTACAGCTTGTCATGAAGCAGTTCTCCTAATTTCAGTTCTAGAAAGGAACAAGACAAAATAATTACAATCATCCTACTAGTACAGCTTCTCCAGACAGTCTTGTCATACATGAAACTTGGTTAAATTTTATCTCCTCTGTCCACCTGTGGAGAGGGGCAAGTGAGCAGCTTTGGCAAGTGCCTGGCCTCTGGCCTGCATCAACCCATGACACTATTCCACCTTCATTTGCWTTTATTTACAAAGCACTTTCAAGACTGAAAGACTAAAAAAATCCCAGTGTTTCATAGAATGCCCCATCCTTCTTTGTTACGCTAACAGTTAAAAAGTTTTAGCATTACTAAGCACACAGTACACTCACAGCCCAAACAGCTGATATCCTGGGCTGCATCCAAAGCAGTGAGGCCAACAGGTCAACAGAGGGGATTGTGCCTCACTGCTCTGCTCTGATGAGGCCCCACCTGGAACACTGCACCCAGCTCTGGGATCCCCAGCACCAAACTATATGGACCTGATGGAGTGAGTCCAGATGAGGGTAACAAAAATGAAGGGAAGGCTGGCACACTTTCCTATGAAGACAGGGCTGAAAGAGKTGGGGCTCTTCCGCCTGGAGAGGAAAAAGTCTAGGGAAACCATTTAGCAGCCTTTCAGTTCATAAACGAAGGCTAGAAAAGAGCTAAGAGGTACTTTTTACTGGGGCATGCACTGACAGAACAAGRGGAAATACTCTTAAACTAAAAGAGAGATTTAGATTAGGTATTAGAAAGAAAATCTTTACAGTGAGAATAGTGAGTCGCTCAAAAAGGTCACCCACAGAAGCAGTGGATGGCCCATACCTGGCAATGCTGAAGACCAGGCTTGATGGGGCTTTGAGCAACACAGTCTGGGGAAAGGCGTCCCTGCTCATGGCAGAAGAGTTGTAAAGAGATGGCCTTTAAAGTCCCTTCTAACCAAAATCATTCTGTGATTATTCTGTGGAACAGCAGCATCTGAATAGGATGGCACAAAGCTGTTTCCTCTGCCCCTTTATTCAGATATCTTAATCTTTTCCAGGGGAGATTAYTGAAAAGCTTGCTTTTCCTCATTACTTTTAAAGTAATCTTTAGATATATATGATGGGTATGCAGATGTAAGTAATACAGAGAATTATTTGATGACATATAGAAATTGTGTTTATCAATATGTAAAATTGTGTGTGGTAAACTGCAGTTTTTGCATTTTTATTTTTCYCTAACGTCATCTTAAAATCAGTTGAAAAAACTGTACACTAGCAATAGCATCTAACAATAATAAAGGCACTGGTAAATGGAAGCAACTGATTCCCCATTACTGAGATGCAGTACATCATTTCAGAAACTCAAGACTTGTTTCAAAGATGAAAAATGATGTACTGATGAACTAAATGAATTACTGGACCCTAGAGATCCAAAAATATACAGGAAAGAAACAGTATTGACTCTGCATGCATAAACAACATTTCCACTTGGCAGAAGAGACAAGAAAAAATCATTGCAAAGGAAAAAAAGCAGGTATGAAAACGCRTAAGATGAAAAAAACTTCAACTGAAAAYATATTTATGTAATCTGGACAAGGAAGCGAAGTGAAGTGGTTCATGACAATTCCAACCTCATAGCTAACAACAGAATCAATGTAGCTCATTCATGTGAAGCTTCAATCTGAGACAAAGTATTGATCAGAAGAACTCAAAGAACTTTGCATAGGCCTCCAAAGGATTCCAAGTTTTCTCAGAATGAAAAGRCTGTAACTCACCTCTACAAGCTTCTTCAAAATCTTGGGTTATATCTATCCAGCTGGTATTACTCTTTTCCATCTTGTCAGGCATACCGAGTTCCCAACCTGAATCATCATCTTCTACTGTAGCTTTCATAACCATGATGCTGCACCTTTATATTCCTGTCAGAAACACCATATATTTGCACAAGCTTGAGAAAATGCTTCATGGGAATGATTTTTCTTTTTCTTTTCAAGAGTCAGGTGACAAAGGAATATGAACTATCATTTTATTTAAACACTACTGTGACATGGACCAACAGAAAAACCCTTACTAAAAAAAACTATAAGAAAAAGGTTTTCTTATTCATAATTTCTTTACAAGTAGCTTGTAAGCTGTGAAACCTCAAAGATTAAGGACACCGAAACATCAGCTGTAGAGAGCCATACWAAAGAGTCTACTCTCAAATTAGAAATAAAATTGGAAGCATAAAGTCCTCCCTTGCAGAGAATACAATTTTTTTTTGTTCTTTTATATGTCCTCCTACTGCTCTGCAACAGGAATTAAAAACAGGTTGCTGTAAAACTGACTACAAGCAAGTCTAACATTCATATGTTATTCATATGAAGCGTATTTCGAGAAATTTGTGAAAAAGGGCTTATTTCCCTGATTTCTTCCTCAAAAAGCAGTATCAAAATTGCAGCACGGAAGCTAAGCAACTTCAGACTTCAGACTGGTATGTAAGTTTTGAACTCCACGGACCAGTTATTTCGAACTAGTTCTGCGCTTTCGCAACCTCCCAACACGCGGGCAGCCTGAGGACTTCCACGCTTTCCCGGTCAGCCTGCCTAGGAGGTATCAGCAATGCTGAACTTCCATCACACTGATGGAGTTCTCGCAAGAGACAGCTGAGAGCTCGGCAGGCTCTGAGCAGCTTAATCACAGCCGCTACGGAAGCTTCAAACAAAAGACCCGGGGAGAGAAGACCCCCTGGACATCGGGAATTAACAAAAACAAAGGGGAGGATCAAAAGGCTTTTGAACAGCAGCCCGGGGGTCCCTTCGTCCCAGCCAGGCTCACTCCCCGACGGGGCGTCAGGGTGACACCAGCTCTCAAGGGACGGCAGGGACTGCCATGCTCAACGGGCTGAATGAGGAAATACGTGAGATCAGTTAAAATAAATTAAATTCCCGCTKGCATTTCGGAATATTGAGACCTCTCGAGCTCTCCTCTTCCCCCAGGTCATGCCAACTCCGGCACTGCCAGAGCGCGGCCAGAGCGCGGCTCAGCGGGTCCCGCGCAGCCCCCCGGGGGCGCCGGGCACCGCGGCCCGCCCGCCCGCACGGCTCCCCCGCCCCGCCGCAGGGGAGGGGCCAGCGAGCCGCCCGCCCCACTGCGGGGCAGCGGCACCGCCGCCGCGGGCTCTCCCTTCCTCCGTTCTTCCCTCGGTGCCCCTGCGAGCTCCGTCCGCGCCCCTCGCCCCGCATCCTCCCCGGGCCTCACCCTCAGCGTCCCACGCCGCCGCCCGCCCGCCCGCCGCTCCTGGCTGGGCCGCCGCCGCCGCACACGCGCACAGCCACCGCTGCTGCCGCCGCCGACCAGCCCGCGGTCCCGGCCTCAGCGCTCCGGCGCAGCCGCACAAAGGAGGCTCCGCCGCGCCGCCCCACCCCGTTCGCAGCYGCCCCTGCGCGCTCCCGCTTACCGTGAGCGGCGAGGCGGGGCGAGAGCGGCCGGGGCGGCGGCGCTCGGCACCCGCTGCGCCCGCGAGGAACGCGGGGGTGGGGCGGGCGGGGCCGTGGCGGCTCCACCCAGCGCGGTGCKGCTCGGGCGCCAAGAGGGCCCCGTGTGGGGGCGGTGTGCGGCAGCGCTGGGGGGCGGGCTCAGGAAGAGCGCGGGGGCCGAGCTGGAGCCGCGGGCCGTCGGGGGCTGCTGCTCAGAGTAGGCAGAGTCTCTTTCTCCAGAAAACTGTTGTGAACGCTGTATAAATATCTAAAATGCGCGTGTCAAGAGGACGGAGCTCCACTTTTCTCAGTGGTGCCGAGCAATAGGACGAGAGGCAATGGGTACAAACTGATGGAACAGGAAGTTCCACCTGAACACGAGGAAGAACTTTACTGTGCAGGTGACTGAGCACTGGTACAGGTTACCCGAGAGAGGTTGTGAAATCTCCCTCACRGGAGATACTCCAACGTCTGGACACAATGCTGTGCCCTGTGCTTGTGGATGATTGTACTTGAGCAGGGATATTGGACCAAAGGATCTCGTGTATTCCCGCCTGACCCGTTCTGTGACTCCGAGCCGCTGCCAGCGGGGCCCCGGCGCGGTCCCGTGTCCCAGCCCAGCCCAGCCCGGCGGTGCTGCCGCTGGTGCAGCCCGAGGCGCGGTGCAGGTGCGGCSCTGAGCGGGCGGCGGGGAGCAGCCACACGGGTCTCGCTCCCGCACTTTGCTGAACTGAAAGCTGACTCGAAGTGCGTTTTTTTCCCCCGTGTGTCAGACGTTTCCTCCCCTTGCTTTTGCACTCGTTTTCATGAACGTCATGTGCTAGGACTTACGCAACGCTGTGTTCTGTACAAGGTTTACGGAGATATGCTGATGAGCTCTCTTGAGAGGGAAGGCGGGTGACGTGAGATGATGTYTAAGGGATCTGCGGTTTTAGAGCACTGCAAACGAATGCTTGCAGTTTGAGKCCAAGATTACCAATGCAAAAGACAGTGGCTAATGTGCTTCAGTCACCTGGTAGAGGCTACCTTAAGTGGATTTTTTTCCCCAAGGTTTTTTGAAAACAAGTTAGAGATTGAAATAAAAGCACTAACTTTATCCATCCTCCTTTCTATTCAACATGCTCAAAGTACAGAGCATTTGTGCTTGGTGGAAAGCAAGAGGAAAAATTTCAGTGAGAGCTCCTATTAAACCAATGACAGCAACCTACTTTATCTGAAACAGTAAGTTATCTTTAGTTCAGTGGCTGCTGAAATGTCTGGTGGCTCACAGAAGCACTGCACTTACTGTAATTCCAGGGGTGACACACAACTATATAACAGACATCTTGTAATGATCCTAATGTTATGGTAGAAAGAACAGATCATTATTATTGAGCCTGATAGCGGTTAAAACATCTGTACACGAAACGTAGCTTCTGTCTTAAATACAGAAGACAGTGATTGCTTTACCAGCACTCTTCTGACAGCTGATTTTCAGATGAATTCCATTTTTAGTTTCAGGTGAGAAGGCCTGTAGTTGATATAATAATCATTCCACTATGATTTTTTTTTTAAACACAATATTGAACAAAATTCTTTCTGAAAAAGGTTTGAAGTTTGTCACAGAGTATTCCATTAGCAAATACCTGTTTGTGGTTCTGTGCAGACTGAATTGTAATTATAAGGGACTGGCTGCAATTATAAGTGGACTTTTGGGAAGTAATCATGATGGTGGATTCATCCTTAACAAATGTAAGCGATTATCACTTCGCTTGGCAGAAATACTGGGCATAAAAAATGAACAGCAGGTTAGTTATGTGTGTGGAAAACGGCCATAGCAGTTAAAAAATAATAATACATGTTCACTGAAATAACCTGTAAGGTGAGATACTTTGCTTTGAGAACATCAAAGCACCTCAACCTGAAATGATACAATAAAGTGCATTGACAGAATGCTATGAAGGACTCATCTAATTTCTGGTACTTGTGATATATACAYGGGAAAATCAAGAGAAATAAGATTGCTTTTTATTTACTTTCAGGTTACACACACAATTATTTTTCTGGGGATAGTTCGCAAAAATCACTTGCATTTAAAATGCCTTGAAGTTTACTACAAAAGTATCCCTTGTTTCCTTACTCTAGTACATAGGCATAGGATTCACAAAACAGTGCTCAATGTTAAGCAAAACAGAAGAAAAAAGCAACCTTCTATAATACTTGCTGGTTATGTCCAACATGTGYTTTGTACTTCTGTCTTCGTGAAGTAGGAGTAGATCAAGGATTATGAGGAACTTGATTCAGTATTAACGATGGAGTACCTTTGTTCCTTGTTCCTGTAATACAGTAAGAATATGTCATCATATACTTGACTTAAATAGGCTGCTTTGTTTAAGAAAACTTCAGCTAACCGTGTACCAGTTTAGGGTGTAGTCAGTTGACTGCTATTTTTATCTTTCTAAAATGATGTTACATTAATGTTGAAAGTACTGATGTATTTTGTATGAGTTTGTAATACAGGGTGTCTATTTTTACACTGCAGAACTCATACTAAAGCATTATGAATTTTTTAAGGATACTTAAGAGGAGAAATGAGCAAATTTATCCTCTACAGTTTGGCTTTAAAAAAATCCTGTAAAAGGAATTTTGACTGGCATAAGCAAAATAGTTTTTGAAGTACTATGTGAACAAAGGTCAATTAAGTCAAATGCAAAAGCACTATTTACCAATAAATTCTGTTGATARTGTAGTTCATTGTTTTGAATAAGAGCATACTTAAAGCATGCTACATAGAAACAGATTTAAAAGACAAGTCTCCTTTGTTTGCTCTAAAGAATTTGAAATATGTAGAATTACTTATTGACCTGTTTGTACAAAATTACAATTGTTTATCATTTTCTGAATAGCAGAGAACTGTCCTCTCCCTCAAAGAGTGTAATAAGTCTATTGTGGAAATAGTCATCTGCTGCAAGGTAACTTCATAGCCTTGCCCCAAGGATGTATCTTGTATTTTTTCTGAGGATTTTTCTTTACCTTTTGCCTTGCTTAAAGTATTGCTGATTTTTCAGGAGCTTACCATTGCTTTGGATGTCTTTCTTAGTGGACATAATTGGTGCAGTGAGAAAAGRGAAAGTGAGAGATCTCAAAGTACGCAAATATCTTCATAAATAGAAAGAAGGTGACCTTCAGGTAGGCTGAAAATGATGCACATAGCTTTTGGTTTTGTTTTTTTTTTTTACTCTCTGAGTATGGAGGTTCTTGGTCGACTGAAACAGATGATATTCACTCTTGATTTGGGTTGGGTCATGGAGGGGGGATTATATTAATATTCTGTCTGTATAAATAAAATGTGATTGTCAGTAGGCATATGAAAAACGGTGGCTGACTTGGTATGAACCTGTGAAACACTTCAGAAACTTGTCTTCCTCCTGCTCTGAAAAACAGTGCCCACTCCTTCCTACTCCCAGTCCCCAGAAACTTATATGAAAATATCCACCAAATCSATAYATTCTCAATTCTGTGTGAAGACTATTGATGTGTTACTTCATTTGTAGTATTACAAAGGAAAAAGTAGCTGAATGAACCACATATGTGAAGTTGAATTAAAATGCTTTTTTTTATGYGCTGAAATACATGCATAACAGCACAAAGGATCATTTCAAAGGTGAAAAAGAAGAGAAGCAATGCTGGTGAAGTACCAAGTGTTCTGACTGAGGACACAGTAAAAAACAAATTCTCCAGTGTGTTTGTAGGCAAGCGCTAGCTTCCAAATGAAGGAGTAGTTGTTTTTAAGAGTGATGGAGAGCTGTTAGCTGTATTCATTATCGGTAAATGTATTCATTATCTGTAAATGACTGGATCTGTTCAGTAATATGAGTACAGAAGCAGGCRCGGCAGATTTAACTAGCAGAGGTTAAGTTTTAATAGAAGGCAATGATTATCCAGTTGATAATTACAGGGAGTAGGATAGGATCCAGGAATTATTACATGTTGCTACCCACTAAATTATTTTGAAGTGTTTTTTCTTATTCTTGATCTTATTATAGAATCAGAAAATTTCTAAGGTTGAAAAAGTCCTTCAAGTCCAGCTATCAGCTTAGCACCACCACTTTGTTCACCATTACACCATGTCCTTCAGTGCCGAATCCACACATTTTTTTGACCACTTCCAGAGATGGTGATGTCACCACTTTCCTGGGCAGTCTGTTTCAATGCTTTGTAACGCTTTCCTTCTCCCAGAGTGGCTAACCATTGCCTTTTAATTTTTTTTTTTTGTGATTATTTTAGCTGTATGGTCTGATCCTGGAAGTCATACTGGATAGCTTACTTAGTAGTAAATACTTTTTTAGCAGACTATAAAAATGCAGTTGGAAGTGAAGAATCTGTCTTTGTCTGAAAACTTGTGTATCTTTTAAATGTCAGTAATCTGTGACTCAATTCATTGCTTGTATTGCCTTGTCAATAATACCAAATGAACACAATATGATTTATCTAAACATACAARCTTCCTTTTTAGCTTATGATACCTCTGATGTCCTTGCCATTCCATACAGTGTRTAGACTGGCATATATCTGCTAGCTTCCCTAAGAGCTTGGATTGTCCCATTAAAAGATATATTCCTAAGACTGAATTTCCTACAAAGCATGAMATTATTAAAGTTGGAAAAGACCTGTAAGTCCAACCTTTCACTAAACATMACTATGTCACCTAAATCATAGCCCTAAATTGTGTCTCTAGTCATTTACTGAACACTTCCTGGGATAGTGACTCCACCACCTCCCTGGTTAGCCCGTTACAATGTTTAACCACCCTTTCTGTGACAAAATTCTTCCTGATGACCAACCTGAACCTGCCCTAGCACATCTTCAGACTATGTCTTCTTCTTCAGTTGCTATTTGCCTG